GCAACTTTCAAACATCTCTTCAATTTGCCTTAGAACGACTAATGAGTTAATTAATGATGAGCATTTTACGTTTAACTCAATAAGTCGTTAACTGAAGATAAACCAATTTTTAAGGTAATTAATGATAAATATTTTTTAACCTTAATACTTTTATTCATTATAAACATCATAATCAACTAAAGAGAATGACGCTAATAGCTGAATAAATTACACTACAACAAAAATGGACTATTGATACCTTTATAGTGGGACACTTTTTTCTAAAATGTGTCTCATTATATGTGTATTAGGACATTTGCTAAAAAGTGTTTTATTAAAAATGAAAAAGCGTATACATATTATGAAACACTATCATAAGTGTATTATGTGGGGTTGCTTGTGAACTATTACCTTACTTAATGGGTCACTTTAAAGTGTCTTAATAAGTGAAAATCTAATAATACACTTTCAAATGTTTTATGACTTCTTGTTACTTGATTATAGGAGACACTATTTAGTAGTGTCCCACGCAATGTGAATCACATGTGTCCTATTACACCACTTATTGAGACACAAAAAAATGTCTAAACTATTCATTTTTGTTGTAGTGTTACTTAGTCACGTCCATCAACTTCTCCTTGGCCAAGATTTTTAAGTTTCAAAAATACCAAAAGTGACCAATAACAAAGATCCACTTGTAATGAAATCTACACTATTGTCACTAGTAGCTAATAATCTCTCTTTCCTACAAAAATTGGGTGATTTTTCATTGTACTAAAATTGTGACATAATTTTCTTAAGGAAAGAATAGTGAATAACGGATAAACAAGGGACCACATGTGTGACACGGTTAATATCAATAATTCAATTATTATTGTGGACCTTTTTGATAAGTCAAGCAAAATTTACCATAAGCCCTCCAAACCCTTTTCTTTTTTACTTTGTTTGAATTCACTTTCGACTGTAATTTTCCATGCAAGAAAATTAACCAACGTAAAAATCAACTCACCTTGTGGTAAAATTTGGGTAGGGGGTAGATGAATCATTCGATCCTCATGATCAAGTTGATGTTCCGTGCCTGAAGGTTGATATTTAGGGTTTCACAATATAGTATAGGTATGAAGTGGCGATTAATTTAATGTTACAGAACTCCAGCAACATGAAAGTACATCAAATTGAAATTCCTTACAAGTATCGGCTGACGAGGGTTGCCTCGATGTCAGAGAGTTGGGCTTGATGCGTGTAACATTTTGAAGTTCACATGTTTGATCATTAGTAGTTACCTTCCATGTATAAATATCTTAGTTCAACAAGACGTTTTAAATTTATTTTTGAGACAGAGAGAATATAAGTTTTTTCGCAATTTACTGCATCGCCACTGGTTTCATTCGAGGTGCCGATTGCGGACTTGGTTATTGGTGTTGTGATTTCATTGTTCAAAGAACTACTTGTTGATCTGATAGCATAATTAGGCACCTACAAAGATAAAGATACTAATCATAAATTTTAGGAAATATCTTGTATAAGGCCAATTAATTTCTTGTAATATTATTTTAGGTCAGCCTTCAACCATTTCTTTTTTTCTCGAAAGAGGGAGTTTAGTTCTTAAAACTTATACCGGTGCTGGTTTGATTTGAGATGTTATTTGTTGCACTTTTGGCTGGTGTTGCAATCTCATTGACGTTCAAAGTAGCAGTACTTATTGATCCATCAGCAGAATTGGGTACCTACAAAATGGGGGGAAAACCATAGGAAAATATATATTTATGATAGACAGATTCCCAAAAGGGTTTTCTGAAGAAAAAAAAATCAAAGATACTGTTTAGAGTAAGAAATATGTTGCTACCAACACCTGAATCTCATTTGGAGTAATCCCAGAAAGATTACTCTCAAACTTTATATGACTTGATCCCGGTTGGCAAATTAAGTATAGTACATTGCACGATGAATTTTCATGACCTAATTCTCACCACAAAGAAAAAGAGCTCTTTGAGATGGTGTTACAGAGACAATATTGATATTGCTAGCTTAAAACTTGAGTATTCTAACATACCTTTGATTATTTCTTTTAGGATTCTGGAGGGATCAAAATGCTGTGATGAATCAGGTGCCTGGAAAGGTATATTTGGGTTGTTTAAAGTCTGATTTTCCATGACTGTGTGAAGGTATGAGAATATGCAACAGAAATAGAGTACATACATATACATATATATATATATATACATATAAGGGAAAAGATCGATACTTTCAGCTTGATGCACTTTTTGTTAGTACCTTGTCAAACTAAAAAGTATTCATGCATCTTTTTAGTAAAGAGGAAGCTTCCAAAGCAAATTTTGAAATATTAACCTGCAACAAAGAAAGTAGCAACCATGCCGAGGCGGCTTGAATTTATTGAAATAATACTCAACAAATTTAGTACTCCCTCCGTCCTTATTATAAAATATTTTAATTTGTTCTAATTCATCTAATATATGTTGTTCCAATTCATGCATGTGATGGGAAGGAATGAGATTTCCAAGTTCTTGTGACACACTCGTCAGCCAAAATACTTACGGATGGAAAATGCATGTAATGGGATTAGAATTGAAGATATTTTTGGAGTGTATCGATTTATCAAATCAACAAAAACATGACACAAATATTTCGTCTTCCGGAATAAATTCAGAGTAGAATCGAAGGTGTGATCTAACTTCCAATATACATATAGGTTTTTATCTTAAGAATGGATACATGCTTCTATTTAAATAATTCCTGATTCTTTCAAAGTACTAATTTGGCCTAAGTACGTAGGACCTTTTGCTTATAACAAAAGACGCAAGAACTTATATTCAGGCAAGTCTCGGTCCTTTTCTCGACCAAAAGAAAAAAAACAAAATGTCTCGGTCGTCTCATTATTTCTTTAGTTTTCTTGTGGCGTTGGAATGAAAGGAGCAACAACATTTTTTAGAACACTCATGAATTCTCATTCTTTCTAATTGAGATTGGATCATTGAATTTGTTAATACAATGGAGAGATTATAGATTATTTTTCTGCCTTTGTCGTTAGGAAATGAATAAGTAACATATCCAAATTCTTTTATAGATAAACAACATAATGACATTCACCTTTTTTTAAGGGAAAAAAAAGAGATATCTTTTCGTCACTTCACTCGTTCCTAATGTGAAATCTCACATTGATAAAAGTACCAAGCTCCTGTAGTTACAAAAAGGAAAATGAAGGTCAAACATTTTTTTAATAGTACATTTTGTAAGCAGCTAAACTACTGCATGTAGATAAGATTTATTTAGAACGAACTAATATTACTACAAAAGAGACAAGCATAATCCACATTAATAAACATGTAGAAAGTTTCCTTTCTCAATCCTATATATTCGACCCGTTTATAATCTGTTTTAAGAATCTCTTAAAGCGTTACCTTCCCTCTTATACCACATTTTTCCTTAATGTGAAATAATTTGAAATTATCAAAAAATTATTGAAAACAAAATAACAAGGCGGCTAAAAAAATTCCTAGATCGGCTTTTCATCGCATCGTGTTTTCAAATTTCAATGCCTATACCTTCTGGCCTTTTTTTTTTTGTTTGCTTTTTGTTTTTTCATCTGGTGTTAATAGTGGCCAATATCGATTGAACTCTCTCGATAATTGGCAAACATCTTCAATTCTTCATACATTCCTGGCATTGTTTTATGTTGGGAACCTCTATACCACTGGTAATAGGCCCAGTTAGAGTATCAGACCTCTTAAGGCTCCATGGCCTGGCTGGAAGGCTCAAAGTGATTTTCCTTTTCCAATAACAGTTATTGCATTGTAATCTACATTTGTTTTTCCATTCTAAATTTGCATGATATTTTTGCTTTCTGGCTTTTGTGTTACTATTGATTGGAGAAGTTGAGTACAAGAGTTGTAACTGTTTTGAGCATCAATGTACCAATATTTCTCTAAAGAATGTGTGTTACCTGCTTTTTTCTTTAACTAGTAAAGTGGCTGAGAACTATCCCTGCTTTCACATGAATACATCTTCCGGATTAATATTGTTTCTCCCTCAATGAAAAAGGCACTATTGAAGATGGGCATTCGAGGAGTGACGATTTCTGATGTTCGTGGCTTTGGTGCTCAAGGAGGCTTGACTGAAAGACAAGCTGGTAGGTGACCCCTTATCAGAACTTCCTTATATTGTGCGATCATCTGACAAGTGTATTCACAGCTAGGAAATGTCGTTGATACTCTTTCCTTTTTTGTTAATAATCATCATTGACTAAGAGTACATTACTGTTTTCACATGAGTACATCTTCCGGATTAATATTGTTTCTCCCTCAATGAAAAAGGCACTATTGAAGATGGGCATTCGAGGAGTGACGATTTCTGATGTTCGTGGCTTTGGTGCTCAAGGAGGCTTGACTGAAAGACAAGCTGGTAGGTGACCCTTATCAGAACTTCCTTATATTGTGCGATCATCTGACAAGTGTATTCACAGCTAGGAAATGTCGTTGATACTCTTTCCTTTTTTGTTAATAATCATCATTGACTAAGAGTACATTACTGGCAACAACAGGATCCGAGTTTGCCAAAGATAATTTTGTTGCGAAAGTCAAGATGGAGATTGTTGCTAGCAAGGATCAGGTATGGGAATATAGAAAATGAGTGGCGCTCGTGGAGACAGTGAATTTTGATAGTGAATGATGTAGCAAAGATACAAATGCAACGAAATGGATGACATATTCTTTGTAAATTGTAAATCGATAATTCGGTATTGCTATGGAAACATGAGAATGAGCTCCCTTGCTACTTCTTCTCTTTCATGAATCACCAATTGGTTAGCCACAAAAAAAAAAAAAAAACTGAAAGTAATGAAATGCCAAATTCAACGTCAATGTTCATCATAGTCACTCAAAACAAATTTAGTTTACAATAGCTATGAATATGGAATGATAATGATGACCATTTAGTATGTATGAAATGGCCATTAAATGTTCGTACTTTCATATCTCTTACTAGCAACAGTGCCTTGTCTGATCTTATGTTGCTGCAATGGGGTATTTCCAAGCCACAATCTGAAAAATAACCTGCAACAAAGCGAGAAGCAACAATGTAGAGGCAGCAAGAATTGAAATTACACCCCATGGACTGTGCATATACTTGCGCCGAAAACTCGCCATCCATTTATTCAAACGTCTGTCACAGTGGCTGTTCACTTTGTTGAATAAGTGAGCATAATGGAAGTTGCTACTCGGACCAACAATGCAGTTATTCATAGTGCTAAACATTTTACATACAGCTTCATTGTCACCTACGAAGCTGCGAAGAATTCCATGACGCGATAGCTTTTTGACATCTTCAACAGACTTAATCAGGCAACCTAAAAATGTCATGTAGTCTATCACAATGTTGAAATGAGTATCCCAACAGTGTTGCTCGTATGCAATAAGGTTCCTAAGGAAACATTCCGTTCTGTCTTCAATGGTTATAACCGGGATTTGCAGTAATCCATCCTGGAATACAATGTCAAATGAGACTTCATCGTCTATTTTCTCAAACCGGATTCCAGCCTCTGCTAGTTCAGTTGAACTTCCGATGCACTTAAGATTTTCCATGTTACATGTGAAATCTGCTTTAGGTTCAAGTTTCAGACTTGACCAATTTCTGTGTATCAGATCAAGTAAATGTTTGATGTTGTTGTCTTGAGAAGCTTCAATTCTACTATTCTTTCCATAACCTGGGAAAAGATCATTGAAAAATTCCAACGCCTTCTGGATGAATATGCGCTGGTGTCCTGAAGGATCAATCATTTCATACAACTTACTCAAAACAAAGAAAGGAAGTTGATTCTCGAACAGCATTAGGTCTCGCTGCAGAAAACTCATAATCCATTCCATTCTGAAAAGAGGATCCATTTCAACCTTTTGTAGGGGATCATTGTTTTTCTGTGAACATTTGAGCACTGTAAACTTAACTAACAATTCAATGATGAAGCAGCCATCTACCACCATCATTTTGACAAATTCATCCGGTGAAAGGTGGTCTGTTGCTTCTGCATAGCACCTCCGCGCCTTTTCCTCTAGTAGTTTCATAGCCGAAACATATTTTGACACACTTTCCTTTCTCCGCTGAAGCAATGAATGTAGGAACTCCAACTTGTGTTTCTCCATCATTTCAAGATGAGACTTATTTCGATGATATGGTCCAATCGCTATGATCTGTGGTTCATAAGCTTTGGCATTTATGTTTCTCAAAACATTATGCACTTTGAAGATGCAAACTTCTGATTTTGAGCCAACGGCATTTTTGAGCATTTGATCAATAGCAATGGAAAGATCTGCTCCTTGTCCAACCGGCATGATCTCTAGAAAACCAAACTGATTTGATAAAGAATCAATCAGCACACATGTTACAAGTAAATAAGCCTTCAGAAACTAATATAACTATGAAAAACTGTGAGTTTGAGTCGCAAACCTAATTCATCTCTACTTAAAATATTTATTGCAAAAATTGCTTATGCCATTGTTTTTGTAAATTTCCAGGGAGTGACAATTCATAAGGAGCACTCTGTTTCTGCATTATGTTGACTTGATTCACAATAGGTAAAACTGAGGCACACTAGTGTTTGATAGAACACTCCAATTAAAACTTCGGCGAACTATACAATTGTGAAGGAGGACATAAGATCTACCGCCACATGTACAATTCTTATGCATAACTTATGCCTAACCATCCACTCATGATACACTCAAATCCACCAAATAACCATGGACTCTGATACCATTTAAGGATGATTTCTCCTGAGGGAGTCTACTTGAAAGATTGATTATTTAAAGCTATACTTAAACGTAAGAGGTTAAACTGGTAAGTAATATTGAGTCAGTCTTGCCTATTTTGTGATGTATATTTCTCTCTGTTACAAATGTTACTCACAGTTTACCCTTGAATTTTGAAACACACAGTGACCGATTTCCTGTGTCTAAAAAATCTATCTATCGACATGTTGAGAGGCTTGGGCAGGTGCTATAAATTCCACCTTGAATTTGTAGAGGATGTAGAGCACTTAATAAGTATGGTGAACCCAAAAGCGGGTTTAATGTTTAGGATCGATTCCCAACAATATGATTGTCATCATCCTGAAAATTTCAATTTGGAAATTTCAGCAAATCTTTTCAGCCTGTAGATTTTGTTTCATACAAACTGATTCCTACTTATATGTTTCAAATTGACACTGGTTCGAAGAGGAACTAATGGTATGATGTATGACATGCTGCTGCAAGAACTTGAACATCCAACCAAGAACTGGTGAAACAAAACGTCCAGTCACAATAACTTGATAGTCCTAAGTGAAAACTTCTGTTATAGATGTTGCAACTTGGTCATCTATACATCATATGCAGAGAGAAAGCTCTTGAAGGATTAAAAGGCCATTTGCAAACAGGTAAAAAGAAGAAATTTTACAGCAGAACATGATCAAGAGCAACAACTTACCAAATCAATGAGGACTCTTCAGAAAATGCAATCTTGGAACAGATCTTACAGGGCTCAGGACGCAGAATTTTTTACTATCAAAATCAGGGTTGTTTTTTTTTCCCATCATCTGTTTACTCAAATATTTAAATGAATTTGTCAATGAAAACTTCCAAGAAATTAAAGTGAGCTTAAGTGGAAATTTCATAGGAAATACAAAGCATGGAGTCCCGTCTGCAAACAATAAAGCAATTCTCTAGATGGAGCCAATCTTTGACTTTGGCAAATACAATAAATAGCACCAACTTTGAACTTCTACACCATTCAATTGGATCATTATATTCGTTAGGTAAAGGGTTGTTGTTGATTCATTTTTTAATCTGAATAGACCAGCCACTAAGGCAATTTATAATGTCAATAACTCCATAGGTCTCAAAATGATTTCATCTTTATTGTCCTGAAGTAGGAGAATAATTTTAGAAACGGAGGAGGTAGTACTTGGTATATTGGACACAACTAGTAACCAGTCGTTTTCTTGAGCTTGTTTGAAGAGTCAATAAGCTTTTGTCATTTTTCTTGGTGAAAAGCCTTTATACATTTTTCTCTAGCAACTGAGCAACTAATTGACACAGAATTAACTTAGATATACTATCGTACTAACCAATTTATGTGCATCAAGTCTTCAAATATGCATGATTGGCTAGAAGCTAAAACCATGGATTTCCGAAATGCAACATAACAGGTTTATTGAAGTCATTCATAACAAATTAAAACGGTGATAAATCATTAAATATGCAAGGAAGACAATGAAATCTATTGGTAACTATAAAGTGTCTCCTCTAAATTAACATAGATGTATAGTCTTACATTTTGTCAAACTAGGGTATTTCCAAGCCTAACTCTAAAGAGCAATCTGCAACAAAGTCAGCAGCAACAATACAGAGGCAGGAGAATGGTAAAATTGATGTCGTAAACTTGCCATCCATTTAGTTAAGAGTTTGCCACAATGGCGGTTCACTTCCTTGAATAATTGAGCATAATGAACCAGGACCACTAATGGAGTCATTCATAGCGATGTACATTCGACAAACAGCTTCATTGTCACCTTGAAAACCTCGAAAACTATAGTTTTTCAACATCTTAAACTGACTTAGTGTGGCAACCGAAAAATGTCATGTAATCTGTCACAATGTCGCACAATTTTCCCACAATATTACTCATGAGCAATGCGATTTTTGCCTTCAAGTTTCCAGATGGACCAATGCATGTGTATCAAGTCCAGTATATGTTTGGTGCAGCCGTCTTGAGGACCTCCAAATCTGGAATCGTTTCCATAACCGGGGAAAAGAGCATCGGAAAATTTCAACACCATATTGGTGAAACTAGCTCTGTTGGTCTGAAGGCTCAATCATTTCATACAATTTACTCAATACAAAGAAAAGAAGGTTGATTTTCAAACAACATTATCAGATCTCGCTGCAGTCCATTCCATTCTGAAAAGAGAATGAATATTCACTTCTTCTTAGAGGTAGAATCGTTACACAAGAACATCTAAATTCAAAGAAACTTGAAAATTAGTTCAATAACAAAACACCCATCTATTACCATCACCCCTCCAAATTCAACAATGAAACAGTCATAATGCAAGCCTTTCTCCATAGCATCTCTGCGCCTTTTCCTCTTTTTCATAGTATCAACAATTCAACATAACTTCAAACACTTTATCCCTTTTGCGCCGAATCAATAATTTCAGAAATGTCAGCTCGTGTTCCTCCATCATTTGGAGATGAGCTTTGTTTTGATGGTATGGTCCAATTGCTATAATCTCTGGTTCAGAGACTAAGCCAAAAACACAATTAAAGCATCTGATCAATAGCAATGTAAACATATGTTGCTCCTTTTTCAACTTGCGGTGCAGAGAGAACCCACCACTCATCATATTAAAAAATCTTCCAGGAAGCTATTGATTCGGATCCTAATAATTATTTAATTCTCCTAAGAGTCTAGAATTCAGACTAATAAGTTTAAAGCTCTAACTTGAACCTCAGAGGTGAAGCAGTAAGTTTTGAATCAATCTTACTTATTAAGTGATCTACATTACTTTGAATACTCTATTAAATTTCAACATATGTGCTTATTAAATCATGCTAGCTATGAATATCAGCAGCCTGAAAAGTTTGAGTCCGATGTTGGGCCGGGGTTGCCCTCAATTGGGCCAGCAACAATGATTGGTTCCAAAAAAAAAATTAATAAAAAAGAAAACCAAGTCCAAATATGATTGATTTTGGGGTTCGGCCGTGGGTTATAAAAAACCCCTTGCCTTACTTTGTGTTTCTGCCCGTGGGAGACAATAAAACAAAAGGGCAGCCGCACGTTGGTTTGTGTGAGAAAAATTCAACCTCAATGATTAATCCCCTAGTTCCGGCGAAGAAAAGCCTATATTTAGCATTCGGGCGGTTCAAGGAAGGATTCTAACAAAATCAATGAATCTCAAGCAAAAAGAAAAAAACAAAATCGAAGCTGAGATCTGGAAAAATTATATGAGCCAAGAGATGTTGAGACCGCCATGGCTGCAAAATCCGGTTGCTTCAACATGCCATCCGGTTTGCCAAGCCAACATATGGTCAGTTTACACCTCAATGACTAATCCCCTAGTTTCGAGATCCACAAACATCATCATCACAACTTTTCTGATATTCTTAGTCATCGATTGTTCATTCTTCTTCAGAGCGGCCATGGAAGAGGATGAAGATAACATGAAAGAAGAGGAGAGACAAGAGCTGGGCACAAAATGATATTGTTAACCACTGAAGAGAGAAATTGTTTTTTAGTGAACCAACAAAGTACGTGGGCGTAATTAGAATGGGATGAGAATTCACGAGTGTTCTAAAAAAAGGTTGTTGCTCCTTTCATTCCAACGCCACAAGAAAAACTACCGAGACTTGCTAGAATATAAGTTCTTGCGTCTTTTGTTATAAGCAAAAGATCCTACGTACTTTGGCCAAATTAGTACTTTGAAAGAATTGGGAATTATTTAAATAGAAGCATGTATCCATTCTTCAGATGAAAACCAATATGTATATTTGAAGTTGGATCACACCTTCGATTCCACTATCAATTTATTTCGGAAGACGAAATAATTGTTTCATGATTTTGTAGATTTGATAAATCGTTACACTCCAAAAATATCATCAATTCTAATCTCATTACATCCATTTTTCATCCCTTAAGTATTTTGGCTGACGAGTGTGTCACAAGAACTTGGAAATCTCATTCCTTCCCATCACATGCATGAATTGGAACAACATATATTAGATGAATTAGAACAGATTAAAATATTTTATAATAAGGACGGAGGGAGTACAAATTTTTTTGAGTATTATTTCAATAAATTCAAGTCGCCTCGGCATGGTTGCTGCTTTCTTTGTTGCAGGTTAATATTTCAAAATTTGCTTTGGAAGCTTCCTCTTTACAAGCAAAGACAATAGCAATTTGCAGGGCACTCATAAAAGTAATATCACTATTTACACTTTCAAGATACTTTCCATTTCCTATTCAACATAGCAAACAATATTTCATTATGTTCCCAATATTAATCTATTTTCACACCAATCAACCAAACGTCAATTAACAATATCTTTCAAGATTGTTTTCTCATAATTGTTAAGTGAATGTAATTAGTAACATTGCTATTACTAGTTAGTGGTGGTAAATATAGGCCAATAACTTTTGTAATATATCTCTATATCTATTTGACTACTTGTAATTGATACTAATAATGAAAATCAACCCAATTAGGGATTCCAAATGTTGTCAATAATTTCGAGTTTGAGGGCAAAAGCAGTGTGATGGAATTCTTTTCTTCCCTTACCTGATGGACTTGAGATTGTGAAATCAAAGGCTAAGGGTTGACACCTATTCCTAACAACCAATATTTAAATTCGACCAACTTCATGACTACGATGTGAATGCTAATATATAAATTGTGAAGCATAGCTTAGTTGGAGCTTCAAATCACCACATAATCATTACCTAATATCATTTTTTATAGGTCGGCCTCCTTAATTGAAAAAAATACATGGAAGCTTATGAAATCTAGGATTATCTTAATTAGTAAATTAGAGGTCTTAATCTCCAAGTCTTCGTAAAAGTCCAAGAGAACTCAGCAAATAAGATCTCTCTACGGATAAAGCAACAAACAATCCTACATTATTCATTTCAAAAAGTGCATCTTTTAAGAAGAAAAAGATGCATACATTCTTTTCAGTTTGACAATTTACTAACAAAAAGTGCATCAATCTGAAAGTATCAATCTTTTCCCTGATATATATATATATATATATATATATAAAACTATTCTATTTGAGTTGCATATTCCCATACCCTCACTCAATCATAGAAAAACAGACTTTGAACAATCCGCATAGATCTCTGAAAGCACCCGATCCATCACAGCATTTAGATCCCTCCAGGATCCTAAAAGAAATATTAAAAGGTATGTTAAAATACTCATGTTTTTTGAGCTAGCAATATCATTATCGTCTCAAAAGCTTTTTTTTTTGTGAGAATTAGGGCATGAAAATACATCGTGCAATGTACTATCATTAATTTTCCAACCGGGATCAAGTCACCTCAAGTTTGAGATGAATCTTTCTGGGATTACTCCAAATGAGATTCAAGGGTTGGCAGCAACATATATTTCTCACTTTTAATAGTATCTTTGATTTTTTAATTTTTTTTAGAAAACTTGGAATCTGAGAAAGTTTGCATCATAAATATATTTTCCCATGTTTTCCCCCTTTTCTAGGTGCCCAATTCTGCCGAAGGATGAATAAGTACTACTACTTTGAACGACAATGAGATTGTAACACCAGCCAAAAATGCAACGAACAGCATCTCAAATCAGACCAGCACCGCCGTAAGTCTTAAAAATTTAGAATCACTTTTCGAGAAAAAAGGAAATGGATGAAGGTAGAACTAAAATCATTTTCCGAAAAAATTTCCTAAAACTTATGATTAGTCTCTTTATCTTTGTAGGTGCCTAATTATGCTAGTGGATCAACAAGTAGTTCTTTGAACATCAATGAGATCACAGCACCGGCAACCAAGACAAGAATCGGCACCTCGAAAGAAATCAGAAGCGTTGTGGTATGTAGTGAAAATATATTAATATATGAAAGGTAACGAATGATCAAACACCTGAAATTGAAAATGTTACGCTCATCAAGCCCAACTCTCTGACATATAGGGGATCTTCGTCAGCCGTTGCTGGTCCAGAATTTCATTTTGGTGTACTTTCATGTTGCTATGATTTCTGTAACATTAAATGAACCATCACCTTATTAATAATGAAACCTATATAAAACCCTAAATATCAACCTTCATGCTCAGAACATCAAGTTCATCATGAGGATCGAATGGTCAATCAACCCCCCAAATTGTACAAGAAGGTGAGTTGATTTTTACGTTGGTTACTTTTCTTTCACGGAGGACTACGGTCTAAAGTGAATTCAAGCATAGTAAAAAGAAAAGGGGCTAACGATGAATTTCGCTTGGCTTATCAAAAAGGGACACAATAACTGAAACTATGTCACATGTGTGGTCCCTTATTAGTCAATTATTCACTATTTTTCCTTAAGGAAATCATGTCACACTTTTAGTACAGAGATAAATTGGTTAATTTTTGGAACAGAAAAAATATTAGATAGTGACGATAGTATATCTTCATTACAAGTTTTTATCGTTGGTCAAACTTGAATCTAGGCCAAGGAGAAGTTGATGAATGTGACTAAGTAATTTAATCAGCTATTAGCGTCAGCCCCTTTGGTGAATTTATGATTTTTAATGAAATATTGAAAATATTAAGTTAAAAAAAATGCTCATCATTAATTACCTTAAAAATTGATATTTAACTTCAGTTTATGACATATTGAGTTATAGTTAAAATATATTGAAAAATCTCATAGTTGAAACAAGTCGTTTTTTTTTTCCAGTAAATTGAATAGATATTTGAAAGTTGCTTTTCTAGGGTCATAAGTAGAACTTTTCTATACTTCTAATATAAAAATATCTGTATTAACTGTCACTAGTAGATACAATATAATTTATTGAATTTTCATTATACGTACCAAGTGCATCATGCCTTTTCACTCCGTTTCTTAAAAGACCAAGATTCCAATCATTTAGAATTAAAGTAATTTATTTTTTACTGTTATTTACAAATGATTGCAATGAGAGTGGAATTACCCTATAAGAAACTCTATGACTATTCCTTTCATGGGAACAGATAATCAGAAGCAGGATCACCATGTGACTCGGGTCTGTAAATGGTGTCTTAAAAATTATGAAGAAAATGAGAGCAAGAATTCTAGTGATAAGAAAGATTGGTTGCTCGAGGACTTATGTGATAATTGTTGGAAAATGGTCGGCAATTCCGAAACAGATTCCGGTCTTCAACTTCCAAACCGGAATAGTTCTCCTCGAGTGGAGGAGGAAGAAGAATATGTCAGCTCATGGTAATCAAACTATCCTTCTACAGTCTACTCCCTCCGCTGTCCCAAAATAACATAAATATAATTATTTTGAAATGGAGTGTGTATTTTATCCTTTATTTTATTGAACTCTTAATGAATATTATTGTTACAGATTTTACCTACCATTGAATGAGGAAGTTAATTCGGTCCTTATTATAAGCATTTTAATTTGTTTTAAATTTCATTTGGTATTTTTTAATTAAAAATAAAACCTTAAAATATATTTTTACATTTATTGTATTCTTTTAATTATTTAAAATATTTTTAGCTTTTCATTTTCAATTGGAACAAAAAAAAAGACTAAATGAAACTTAGAACAAATCAAAATTTCATATAATAAGGACCGATGGGGGTAAGGACAACTAGCTAACCCCAGCTTAATTTTTGTTGGCAGTTGTTTGTGCTAGCAAGAACCTGTTGGTATAGATTGCAATATGGACATACCGAAGGGTTACTACACCAAATGTACGGAATGATTTTCTAAGGACATTTCTATCGAAGGTCTCTTTCAAGCATTTCCAAGGGACACACTGGCTCAAAGTTTCGAAAAGTCGTCCTCTTTGATGAGAGCCATCTTTTAATGTAAATCATACATCGATTTGTTTGATGTCAATGGCTTCGAGACACAACGGGTACAAATATTGAATGAGTTACCATTACAACTTACAAATATAATAATAGAGACTAAAACAACGTTATAATTGGATGTTCTCGATTTGGAATTGGTGCGATAGGTTTAAGATTCATGCTTCAAAATTTTGAATTTCAACTTTCAATCATCATCATACTTATGTAATACCCAGAAAAAAAAAATATTAAAAAAAAGGTTGGTCATTTCACGGATACGGCAAAGTTTGGAAATTGGAAACCATAAGTCACTCACTTGTTATTCACTTTAATTTTATCGAAAATCAGAACTTTAAACTTTTGTCATTCCGTTTTAACAATATGGTTAGTACTGTCTACGAAGGAGAAAGGATCTTTTCTTTGTTTCTTTTTTCACCTTCAAACCAAATCCGATCACTATATCTTAAAAACAAATTGTATTCTCCTTCTTATATTTACCACATGTAAAATGATACATTTGCACTCATTTTATATGCTGAACTAATTTAAAATAATTTACTTTCTCTGACCCAAAATAAGTGAATTGTTTTAATATAATAAAGTTAATTAACTATCATTTTGGGGTAAAAGAAGTAATAAATAACACATTTTTATCTTACTTGTCTTTAGAGAAATGTCTACAAAAGCAAACAGTTCATAAAGTCCTACGACATTGAAAGGTCTATTGTATTATAGATATATAATCAATTGCGACGACGAAATATTGAAGGAGCAGCAACTTCCATTTACTTCATCAACTGCCCGAAAGCTTCTTCTCAAATTCTCTATCTTTCTCACAAACAACAGCTGTCAACAACCCAAGCACGTTTTGTGTTAGTTACCAACAAATAAAGCTCCATCACGCAAATTACTTTCTTAATTTTATGCCACTTATGGTTAGAACTTAGAACAAACAAGAGCTTATTAAGAAAAGTAGAAAAAAGAGGATGAGATGAGATTATTAGAGTGGGACATCACTATCACGTCTGCGAAGTTTAAACTTTAGCAGCAACAATCTATAATAATGGATTACGTCAATAAAATATTTGTTCAAATAATTAATGGTTATTGAGTAGACATTGTTGTCTTTTGTTTCCCCTAAACAAACCCTGAATTATGAAGGAAATTTGCGTGTTTTTAGCAGGTACGTATTGCACTCAAACTAAACTATACTCGACTTTTGGTAAAAATCTTTTTCCACTTCAAAAGATATAAATTCGCTCAGATACTTATAACGCTATATTATAAGCATTCTAAATTTTGTTTTGATTAAATTTTTTTCGTTTCCAAAAAATGAAACATAAGTTATTAAATACTCCTATTAAATACAATCGGTTCAGAACTGTTTCAAGATTACTGTAAAAAAAGAGAAAAATAGAAATGATAACACAAAAAAGAAAAAAAGAGAGAGAAGAGAAAAATAAATGATGGAATCAAAGAGCTTGGTTTGATCTATCAATTACCATGAAGATGGTTCTTCGTCATCGTGTTCCACACTATGATGCTTGGAAGCTGTTGCACTTGTGATCATCTTTTGACATTCACAACAATATTGATTGCTCAATAAAAAGTCTTCTTTAGCCGTGATAGTATTATTATTAGTGCTATGATAATTGACACCGCATGTTTGGCACGCTAAAATTTCTTCCTGCTTCTTGCCCTCGACTGCTCAAAATATAATTCAAAGTTAAGAGAGAAGAAAAAGGTAAAGTAGAGTCATGAAAAAATTTCGACCCGAAATAATAATTCAATTTAGACTTTCATGAAAATTCAAATGTGACAATAATTTTAGAATTGAGAAGGTATATAATAATTAAAAGGAAAGATGAAATTAATTAATTAAGTGCTTACCACTCATTATATTTATAGATGGTGGCGTTGTCGGATACCTGACATTAGCAGCCGGGAAAGTGTTATGAGTTGTTATTTCACCGTCAATCTTCTGGCCAGGCAATTTACAAACATATATTGATTAATGAGTAATAATATTAATAAGATTAATTATACACGCGATGTAAATTTTACAAGAGAAAACGACAATCATGTTCACTTTCGACAATAAGTTACAAATAAAGCTAATTGAACTTATTTTAAAAATTTATGTCTTATAAATAGGACTGGATAGATATAATTTATTTTAAAGTGTATTTTTCTTATAATTCCTACCTTTTTTTCTTGATGTGATTGTATGTTTTAGTTTTTGTTAATAATAACTTAATTTATTGGCTGCGTTACTATGTATTGATATGTTAATTTTAATAACAAATCGGTTTATAGATAAACTATTAGTAAAATCAATAACAAGATCTCTTTGCCTATCCTCAGACATTGTTTGTGCATGTTTTAGGTTTCAAAATAAAGAATCTCCACTACTGCATATCGATCACTGATTTGACTAAATAGAAAAGGTACTGCCAATAAGCATGCATGATGTGCCAACTGATTGGTTAAAGAAAGTGACATTAAGGTTGTTACATGACTTTGACTAATTAAATTATATTATTGCCTTTGTTTCTTTTGAATCGTCTATTTTGTTAAATTATATTATTCACTGTATTAAAGTATTAAAATGAAATGGAAAGATTAAAAATTAAGAACCATTCGTGATGTGTCACAAATGATGAAGACAAAAGATAGGTTTATTAGTTATAAGGATCGACTGATTGAAATATTTATTGAAAAAAATTTATAGTTTAGTTCCAACTATGCACTACCAACTTCATTTGGAAGAATTGGGAATGTTACTCATATTAGGTGTTCAATGTACTTGAAAAATTGCAATGTTTAAATTTTGATCAAAATGTTTTAAGAATTTAATTGATAAGATTTGTGTTAAAAATTACGTCAAGTTGATTTAAATGACAAACGTCCAAGAACAATGAACTAAAAAAAATAAAAATTACGTCAAGTTGATTTAAATTAGTATACACACACAAACAAATGAACTTTTTTAAAAACTAAAAAAAAAAATCCAAATTATTAGTGACGTTGCAACTCCAACAATTACTCTAAAATATTAAACCATAAAGAAACTAGACCTCCAAAGTTACGTGGGTAAGCGATCATTTTGAACGTTGGAAAAATTTGTTCTTGTTACTATAAACATTTACAAGCCATTTTCTATTTGACGAAAAAATTAAAAAAAAAATAACGATACAATCCACAGAGGTTATCTCTTTCTTTTCTTTTTTTTTTTTATTTGGGTAAACCAAAATTTAAAGTAGAGGATGGAAAAGATTAGTATATTTTACTAATATTGTTATTGAATTGCTTGCTTGAAATCAATTCTCTTACCTGATCATAGTGTTCAGATGGTTCATCGAGATTCTCCATCTCAAACTTGATCGATCTTGATCCCGGACGGCTCATTGAATAAACCAGATGAGATCCATTATGGTGCCCTAATTAAGAAATGAGAAAGATAGAATGTAGAAAAATGATTATGCTAGATATTCCCTCATGTCCTTATTATAAGGTATTTTGATTTATCCTATGTTTTATATAGTACATATTTTTAATTGACAAAAAAAATTTAAAAATATTTCATAACAATCAAGAGAACACAACGAATGTGAAAATATATTTTTAAGATTTTTCCGTCAATTACAAATACGTAGTAGGTGAAACCTAAGACAAATCAAAATTTCTTATATTAAGGACCGGAAGGAGTAATTAACTAGATAACAAAGAAATTAAATTTACAAGAATACTGAAAACTAACCATATTGCATTTCTTGAGAAATTGTGTAGGAAGCATTGTAGTGCTCTATTCGAGGTGTTTTCACAGAGATCATTTTTGCTATGATATGGGATTATGATTTGTTGTATGATGATGAATCCAGTGTGTATATATATGTATAAGTGTGCGTCTGCGTGAGAGAGAAAAAGAGAGACTAGTAAGTAAATGACTTGAAGACTAATGATGAATCGAGTCGCAGCAAAGTGGAAAGCACTCAGAAATTTTCATGTTTACTTTTGTAGCCAAATAAATCGTGGTGTCACCGTGTGATGATCTTCTGGCGAAAAAAAGAAATCTAAGATTTTCGCAAATTCAGAAGTTTCCAGAGATATGCTTCACGACAGGAGTCAATTCTTTAGCATTTGCCGTGAAAATTCCATGTATGCAAAATTTATAAGTGACTACGTCAACAATAAAAAAAAAAAAGGTAAAGTTTTCGAATTGGTTTGGATTTTGGAGTAACCAATATCAAACTCCGAATTTATTAACAATATCTACTTGTTAATGTAACTTAGTCGGCCAAAAGTATCAATTAAGTCCTCAATTAGTTAGAATGATACTTGTTTATATTAAAGAAAGATCGCCAATAATACTACTCCCCCTGTCCTAAAATTATTGTCCAGTTTGTCAAAAAAATTTTGTCCTAAAATTATTGTCCAATGTGACTTTTTTAGAGATAAAATACGCTTGTACCCTTGATTAAAAAACATACCCCGTTTTTTCCATAGATGGCTTTAAGCGGCGGGGGTTGAGCAAGCGGCGGTGGTTGAGCATATGCCAAAATTCGATTGAATAATTTTGGAATTGAAGCTTCTTGATAGGTCTTGATGCCAGAACGATTTCTATTCTTGCTCATGACAGTGAGTCAAAGCTCATCCTTGTCGATTAACAATCAACTTCTATGATTATTGAAGTATTGTCGTTATTATCGCCGAATTCTCGATTGACCCCAAAATTATGTTGAGCTATCGAATTGATTCTTCAATATTGGTCGATCCGTCGCCATGGAAAGCCTACGATGATATGCACTTTAATCCTTCCTGGTTTTCCTCTGACAGTGACTAGATTTATCGCTGCTAAAAGTGGAGTTATGCCCTTTGATAATGATACGGAAATTGAAAACAGAGTACTTTGTCATGTTTTCCTGATAGGGGTATATTTGGAAGTTTATGTCAAAATTTAGTTTAGTTTGACCAAAAATAAAATTTTTTATTTTAGGAAAAGTGGAGAATAATTTTGGGAGAGAGGGAGTATTACATTTGACCTTAATGTACACAATTTTATGCAATTTAATCTTGTCCTTTCAATCAAAGATAATGAGCCACACGGACTTAATTCAGACCTAAGATCTGAATCATTCCATTCCGATCCGACTACATAACGGACTACTCATCTATATTTCAGCGAGGGATCAGTCATTGTTGTTGATGGTGGACACTCTACAAATATGGGGGAAAAAAAAAACTGTCGTGCTTAATATAATTCTTGGTTAGGCCCAAGTGGAAGCATATAGACACAAATATTAAAAATTACGTAGTGATTTACTCTCTTTTTTTCCCTTAATTATGTAATTACATAAAATGGATCTCCTAAAAGTGCCTTCTTTTTTGTGTGTTTTTTTCGTGCGCTTCATGGGCATGAATTACAGAAAGTACTTAGAAAATGTCTTCTTGTTGTCCCCCAAATGTCTTCTGGCTGTTATTCAGAAATTTAAAGAATGTTCCTTTAATTGATTCATTTAGTGGAGACAAACTCTTCACCCTGGGAGTTGCATTGTTTTTTCCCTCTTGAGGTCCACATCTTGTATATTTTAAGGACTCAACTTTGACAAATAGCTATTGTATTCTCCGTAGAAAATCGTATGAAACTTCTCTTTTCCCTTAGTTTTATTTTCATTCCTACATGATATCCTCAATTGATTGATCGAAGGACGAAAATGAACAATGGACTCTACGATTTTGTATATATAACACGATGTCATGCGCGATTGATCTATCTAACTTCTAGCCTTCAAGGGTCATTTGCTTGGCCAGAAGAAGCATGTTTGATTCTATGGCACTAATTCATTCATTCATCCTTAAAACAAAGAAAGAGCTTTATCTGATGGATATTCTTACTTCATCCATCAAAATAAGGTCACTTAATTTTGAAGACGAAGCAAACAAGATATTCCACCCATTCCATTAAATTTAATAAAAAATTTTTTCAAAATTAAATAATACGAAAACTAATCTTTAGCAAAATTATGATGATAGGTTTTATTCTTCTGCTCTGGACATGGGAGGATTAGTTGGCATTTATCGCAAGTCAAAATGAATCCTTCCTTTTTCACTTAATTTCCTCCTTCACAATAGGGAATTATTTTTTGTCCCTCCATACTTTGAGTTACATTATGTGGGAAAACGAATATCACTCCTCCTTCTTTGTACCAAAAAAAAAAACGAATGTGTACAATTCAAAAAACAGTGCAAATTTTTTTGCTCAATCCAAGAGTGTGACTAAATTAAATCAGCCTTTTTCGTTTCATATGAGATTCCGGAGTTATACACATTTAATTGATAAGTCGGTTTTGACAAACACGACAATACTTGCTGTACAACCATTTTAGTGTATCACTAGTGTCACTTTCATCGTCTACAACATATTTGCCCCCGCAAGGGCCTTTGCAAACTGAATTTCCTCCAGGCTTCTTGGCATTATGGCCTTCATGATCTGCCACAAATAAAGAGTAACTATCAGTCCGGTATTAGAATATAGACTTATAACTCATAGTAATAGAGCGACTTATGATAAGTGAACAATTATTTCGAAACCGAAGGGATATTACTTTTTACCTCTATTTCCTTTTCTAGATGATGTTCCAGTCTGAGTACCACTAATATTCTTGAAGAATTTTTCGGGAGCAAAGATTTCTGGAGGAGGTCTTTGGGTTTCAACCTGTAGTATTTTAAACACACTTAGGAAAACAGTAAAGAAAAAAAATCACGACAATGAAAATAAAACGTTAATCATGTTAAATGATACTGACTGATACGTTAGTTAAATCATGATATTGACCTTTTCTGTTCAAAAATTGGAGATGTTTGTTTTTTAGTATTGCATACCAGCACCACATTCAAATTAAATACAATTAAGCTTCAAATTTTGACAAGAAAAAGACTTAATTAATGACTTGTAATTTATATAAAATATTTACTCCTCTTTGTCGACTTCGATTTTAGATTTTTTATTCTGACCGAGTCTATCTCTTGACGTTGTGACGCTTTCATGTTTATCAATTAATAACGTTTTAATGCCATATGAAACTAATTAGGATTATAATTAGATTTATAGACGCTAAACACCTCAACAAAAAATAGGATATTCCTTAAAATTTTCAATTAGCTTAAAAAGAATAGTAGGATTAAGTGTAGGATATGAACCCCAACCCCCCAACCACCCGATACAATGAAGGAAATATAGTGGAACTATGTGCTATAGCGTTTCGTATTCATTAAAATTAGAGAGATTAGGCCAGATGTATTTAATTAGGAGACATCATGAAGTTAAAAACTATATTATGTTCCGTCAAAAAAAAAAAAGAAGGATTCAAGAACTATGGGGCATCTATATTGATAAATACCACACTCAGACTATACTCTTGAACTCGCAACTTCTCCTGATATCTTGTTACGAACATGCTACTGTCAAGACTTACTAAAACATAATCTTTTTAAGAGAGACTTTTTTTGTTAATTAACTTAGGAAGAGTGTTGTAATGGTGGGTTAGAATTAAAAATCCAAAAAGGTTCAAAGAAAGAAAAATAATTTGGATGTAAGCAGTATGTTTATAGTTTTGTGAATTTTAGAAAACATGCAAATCACCATATATGCCATTACCAGGTAATTATCTGGAGCTGGACTGTCATGATTATAGGAAGGAAGCGCATACTTTGTGGACCTTGATCCCGGACGGCTGATGAAAGGATAGGCTTCATTTCGTTGCCCTAACAATTTAGAAACAATAAAACTCAATTTACATTGTAAGGAAACTAAAGCAAATTAAAAAGAATAATAAGAAGAAGAAGAATAAGAAAATCGAGGTTAATTAATTTCCCAGAGATGGAGGAGATCTTAATTAGTTCATCATTTTCTTGGTGTTTCACCGAAATGACTAACCTGTTTGCATCTTTTCGGAGATTCCTTTTGGAGGTTTTGCAGCGTGTTTCTTTTTTTTTTTTTTCACAATAAATTTGGAAACGATTTGAGGATTGATTTATAGAACCAGACCAAGAAGGCACTTCGAAATTTCTTCTAATTATTAATGTATTGTTTTGAGCATTAGTCACCATTGAAATTATCATGTAATTTCAGTAACAATTGATGAACCAATGGCGGTAGTTTGGGCATTTTCATTGTTATATTCCGGACACTTAAAGCGTTTTAATTTGTGTGTCCGCAACATGTGTGAAACACGCTAATAACTCAAAAATCCAACAGGAATTTGAAGCATGGATTTACATAAGAGTCTTAAACGAGACAATTGGTGTCTTGTGAAGATTCCAAGTACATTTTCCTCAAGCATGTTTAGATAGAAGCCAATTTCAAGTTGGAGGCTTCGGTACTTCCTTGGATGATCGGAACAGTTTCGAATGGCCCGTTACTAGGAATTTTTTTCCAAGCTTAGAGTACTATTCACAATGGTGGTAGATAGTAAGTTAATAACCATCTTATCATAGTGTAATAATTTGTAACGCTGTAAGAATTCATGTGTAATACTCACTTCGTCCTTTAATTATTATCCAGTTTGGATTTTCACTTTTAGATCAAATTTAAACAGAAAGTAAAGATAATAATTTCAGGACAGAGGGAATACGTTGTTGTGATTAATTGGGCTTCATAACATTATAATCGTATTTTATTCTATTACTGTAAATCACATAGAGAAAAAATGATTAAAAATTTAATATTAAAAATTATTAAAAACGACAACTGATTATACTCACAATAGTATAAACCGTTGTAGATACACTTTTGATATAGTATAATTACTAGAATCAACAGATATTTTGGGCTTGAGATATATATAAAGGTAGGATGAAGGGATTTTCCTTCCATGAGATTGTGAAAGGAAATATCATATTATATAACTGACGCGGACCTGTGTCCGTAACAACCAGTAAATTGACATTACCTACTTCATGACAAGGTAAACCCTACTTCATGACAGGGGTAAACACTAATTAATAATTACGAAGTCAATCATAGTTGGAGAAACTAATGAATTGTCTAATAAAGGTGGTTATGGCCTACTTTAGTTGGAAAAATTGGACTCAAATTCAATCTTGTTTCGGAAGCCAAGTTTACTTGTGGTAAGATCCAGTGAACAATATTTTTAACAGATTTCTTTTATTTTTAGTCTAGCTCGATTAATTAGGATTCGAAAATGCATTGATATTATCCGTGAGCCCAAGTTTGAGCGGGATCTTTCTGGGATTACTGTAAATGACTGATATTCAGATCATGCATCTTACTACGAAAATAAGGTCTTTAAGGGTTGCACTTAAATTTCTCATGCATTGACCCGAAAAGAAAAGAAATGAAAAGAATTAGAAAAAAATAAAAGAAAATATAAGGCAGAAAGAAAAAAAAAAAAACGTCTGTCCATATTATTAAAATACGATAGTATAGCAGATTTTCTTGCTAGCTAAACTAAGCTGCAATTCAAAGACATGCAAATCAATCGATCTTTTAAAATGTAGTGCAATTGTGCAAATAATGGTACTTCCTCTGTCCCAAAATTATTATTCAGTTTAAAATTTCACTTTTAATACAATTTGAACAAGAAATGAAAACCTAAACAGGACAATAATTATGGGACGGAGGGAGTATTATTTAGTTTGTTAGCCATATTTGCTTGGCATAAATGAAACATTGCTTCCCAACTCCCAAACCATTTGTGAATTTCAAAACGTTGCAAATCATTTCTCAAGTCAATGGATTTGATTGGACGGAGGACTACTAATTACAATTTGAGAATCATTTTTGTTTCTCGTGTAATATGAAATGTTTTCAGTATATTAATTTGTATCATATTCAAACTAATATATTCTTATAGTTGTAGATCTTCTTGGGGAACGAAGGCAGGCATTGAACTTAACTCATTGATCCTTTTTCCTTTCTAAAACTAGCGTGAAATGGATCTCCATGAAAGTGCCCTTTCCTTTTGTGTGTTCTTTTCGTGCTCAAGAGTATAGAAAGTCCTTAGAAAGTGTCTTTAGTTTTTCATGTGTGGTCTAAGTCTTTTTATATTTTAAGGGCTCTACCATAAAAATCAAATTGTATTCTTCGTAGAAAAATCCCTTGAAACTTCCTTCCTGGATTTTTAGTCCCAATGCATTCATCTTGAAAAATAAATTTTAAAACTCCTTATGTTCCAAAAATTATTGTCCAATTTGAACTTTCATTTTTAATACACTTTGAACTAAAAATAAAATTGCAAACTGGATAATAATTTACGAATAGGGAGTACATGTTTTTGTGTAGAATTACCTGCGTGTTACTCCCCAGCTACATAACAGTTGTTCTATGTTTATAATTATCGTTATAGGAAAGAAAGAATAAAATGCGTTATCTTCTCTACGCGTTGTTATTGTTAGTATATGATTTTTTACTCTGGTTACTTGGTCCCTTGAGTATCAATTGAGTAATATATGTAATCAGATATTTCTCATATGGGTGCCTTTCAAATACACTAGCATGATTCCATCCCTACAGAAAACTTAATAGAAAATGGTCATTTCAATATGAACGAGAAATCCTTCGAAAAGACAATATTTAAATGATTGATTTTTGGAAGCAGACTTTTACATAGAGTAACGTTTCCATACCCAAATAAACCAAGCAAAAGTAGCCATACTCCCCGTGCTTAAATTATTGTTTAGTGTGAATATTTTTATTTTAGAATAAATTGAACTAACAACTAAAATTCAACCTGAACAACAATTTCATGTTTTCGTATATTATCAACCAATAGTATGTCCTCCTCAACCATACCTTTTGAATATTTTTCTTTTCTTTTTTCTTATAACCTAGAGCTGGTTTAAGTTAAAGGATGCATGATATACAGACTTAATTTCTTCCTCGTTCTGATTAGAGATACATAGTAAAGCAAATAGTAATACTAAAATTTAAATCTATCCCTAAGCACCAATAAATTAACTCGACCTATTTCATGAAAGGGACGTGAATGCTAAAAGTTAATTTGTGGATGTAAGCTCAGTTTGAGCCACTAATCATAAGTTTTTTCGATGGCCGCCTAGTTGACAAATTAATTTGCAGTTTGTGCGATGTATGAGCACTACATTACTGCGTCTGTTTGATAATAATAGTTCTACTTTGTTCATAAAGAAAAAAGAAATTAAACTTATCCAAGATTATGATTAAAAGAAAATTTCATAGATTAAGATGTTACTCTATCAGTTACATACATATTAAAGGCATGTCTAGAATGATGTGGAGTGCGAAACTTCTTAATGTAAAATCAACTTTTAAGATTAGACCCAAGAACGTCAAGAGAAAATAGCTAATTAATTTTCTTTAATTAAAATATTACAATAAAGTGAACTATTTTCTTGGGTAGGAGAGTAATGTGTATTAATCCTATGGGGAAAAAGAGATTCAGATCACCTGTCCAAAAAATTCATGTCCGATCCCTATTCAGAATAAAACTAATAATAGTCATCTGGTTCTTGAAAATGATTAAAGACAAAAAAGAGTCACAATTATCTATAACTATACAATTAACTAAGTAATTAATTTGGACACATATGAAAATGGGATCGTTACATGAAGTCATTCTTTTCTACCAAGCTACTTGCTAGGAGTATGTTTGCCCAGAAGAAGCATTTGGATGATTACATGGCATTATTCATTCTCGTGCTTAATTTTATTACAGTTACAAAACGCGAGTTTTATTTGGTGGAAAAGAGTCGCTACGCACCTCTCTCCCAATAGTTTTACTCAATTTGGAGATGAAGCAATGAAGATATTTATTATAATTCCCGCGTTCCGAAAAGATAATTTATTTTGTAGAATGAAAAATAGTACTCCCTCCGTTCCAGAAAAATAGTGCAGTTTGAAAATGTAGAACTTTTTTAATTTGCACACCAAATGTACAACTCATTTTATGCCCCTAACTTCCATTAATGTCTCTTCATTAATGCCTCTTCGAGTTATTTCTATAAAAGTTAACTACATATGCATTTATTTTACAACTTAAATTTGATCAAAATTTTTATCTCAAAAAATATTGACAATGGAACTTGATAGAAAGATCTTATTACGTAGATTAATTTGATATATAACACATTTTTTAATTATTTATGTATTAAAAGATATAATCATTTGAAAAAATTGGAGAAAATTAAAAATAAATAAATAAATATCAAAGGAAGTGCACCATGTTTTCCTTATTACCACTACTCTTTTGGATATTTAAGTCATTTCAATTCAATTAATTTTGACTTTTGTGAATCTGAACTATTTTTTTTGGGACAAATTTTTTTATTAAACTGAACTATTTTTGTGGGACGGATGGAGTACAACAAATTAAATTACCGTAGACATTCAAACAAATCAAAGCATTCTTACATATTTCGAATTTTAATGAAAGTCACAAACCACCCCCGAATCATTCAATATATACTTGTTCGTTAATTACATGAGTACGTTTTTACATTCACGACAACAATCACCAAACAGCCATTCTAATGTAGTAGGATTTGTGCTATTTAGTTCTTCCGGCAAATTTTTGCCACCGCAAGGGCCTCTGCAAACCAATTTTAGTTCCTGCTTCTTAGTGGTATCGTGGACCTCATCTGCGACAAATAAGAGAGTAATTAAGTTAATTAATCCAGTCAAATTAATTAATAAAGAGTTTGTTGCCCTGTTTGTTTGTTGTTTAGCATATAACAATTTCACAAAATCATACACTAAGACTGAGATACTTAATGCTTTTGGTTTATGCTAATTATCTATATCTCTACCAATGCTTCTGAAATAAACGAAGGATAATGCTTCCTCCTGTAATACTTGTAAATTAAAAACTTGACCAAAATTTTTGTTTAATTGGTGAATTATAAAACGAAGGACAAGCATACATAGGTTATATCACAGCTTAGAATATATAGGTCACTTCTATTTTTATAGTTTATTTGTCTTATTTCGTTGAACAAAAAGAATACAACAAATGAAAATATTTTTATGAGACAGAGAGAATATTAATAAGATGATTATATATTTGCAATAAAAATAGGGTATCCCTTACCTCTCATTCCGGTTGAAGATGATGAGGATGATCCAGACGTCGGAGTACTATTAGTACTAGTATTCATCAAGAAGTTTATGGGAGCAAAGTTTTCTGGAGGGGGCATTTGCATTTCAACCTACAATTGTAAAACACTTCAACATGTTATACACAGATTGACCAACATGTTAAGCTGTTTTATTTATTTATTTATTTTTTTGGATTTAACTCTTGAGAAAAATTGTAAATGGAAAAAGGGAAAAAGGAAAATTTTCAAGGCAATGAAAATGAAATGTTATATACCTTACGTACCCTAATTTATAAGAGAACCGTGAAGTGTAAATATCTAGATGACTAATTTTCGTCGACCGTCTGGTTATTTATCGATAACACAAATTTTTTTAAACCTAAACATAATTTAAAATTATTCCCTCTGAGTAGGACCAGATACTATAAGAATTATAAAACTTCTAAAAACGTTAAATAAATATATTGTTATACATATACTGCCTAAAATTTAATATTTTGCCCTTTGACTGAGTCGATTCTCTTGACATTACGTGACACGTCCATGCTGATGCGTTAGAGCATCCACAATAGTAGTAAAATAATAAGTAAATAACCAATCTATTATACTATTTATCAGTATATTAAGTATGATAATATTATACAGTGTAAGAATTCTTACATTGTATAATACACTTTTTGATGTTAAAGTGTAGTTAATGTGAATTTATGATGGTACTAAACTATTTCATTTTATTACATTTTTAGAGTGTAAACCGATGTAGTGAAAAATTGAATAAAAGTATAATATTAAAAATTTATGACATTATACTCACAATAGTGTAAACCATTGTGGGTGCTTTTACTAACTTGTGAATGACGCATAAAACTTGGAAAAAAATAAATTAATTTACAGAAGCTAAACGGGCCCAGAAAGAAAATTACATAGAAGTTTATTTCAAACTCCTGAGTATCTCAAAAAGAACCATCATGTTAATCATACAATACCACATTTTTCAAAGAATAAGTTAGTAAGGAGGAGAGCATAAATGGTTTTCACAATGAAATTTATCTTATCTGTCTTTTTCTTTTCCTTTTTTTTTTTGGGAGGGGGAGAATAATTGATTACATTACATGTATATCAATGAGAAAACAATGCACTTTACAGTTTGCAATGCCCCCTTGTTAAAATCTGAAATTATGTTATTGGGGAGATGTTTTCATTAATATGTATGCATCCTGTTTCTGCTGTAACTTCATCAAGCACTTCAGATTTTTATTAAGTCAATGTCAACGTTATTGAAAAGGGAAAAGGAAGGAAAGAAAAGGAACAAGAAGAATAATTAAAACAAAAAAAATTGAAAGTGAAATCTACCTTTCTGGAAGTTCTTTGAGTGGAAAAGTATGCTATGGATACATATTCCTTAATGAAAGATTATGACAGATTGTATTTAATAAGAAAAATCTTGCCATGTAGCAATTTCATCTGAAATTCATAAACCATCCATCATACTGACAACTAATATTTACTACAAATTTAAGATATGTATACAACAGCAAAATAAGTAGCACGAAAATAGATACTCTATCCATCCAATTAGAAATTAGAAATCCAATATTTTATGTAAAAGAAGATTCATTTGATCCGGTAAAATTGCCATACCGGGTTAGCTGCTGGACCCTCTTGGTTAGGAGATACCACAAACTTGATGGACCTTGATCCCGGTGAACTTATCAAATGTCGAGCGTAAGCTTCATTTTGGTCTTCTAATCATTTTGCACAAAAATGAACATAATAATCAATGCCAATTAGGGAAACAATATATAGCTTGACAAAATAAAAGATTAAATTTTATATAAATTAAAAGACCAGCTTTGACATTCGGAATGTAATGAAAAGTACGGTTTTTTTGTCCCTACTTATTTTAGAGAAGGGTGTGATGACTGATTTCTACGTAAACAAACACCGAATCTATTCGGCAATAAAGTAGCCCTCAAATTACAAGAATTCGAGCCCTATATAGCCAATTAGCTAGAAAGACCTAAAGGCTAAGGCTCGTTTTGGAATACGTAATATGTTGCTTCAAAATAACGACAAAACAACTTTAGTCAGATAAAATGAGGACATTCTAAATACGATCGGGAACTTCATATTAAATGCAGACTCATGAAGAAAAAGGGGAGAATATCTGAATAATTCATATTTTTCACTGAAGGGAATTGAAGAGACAAGAGTAAGAGGAAAATTGAGGTCAATTTCGTGATTTTGAAAAATCAAGGTAACGACTGAAAATTCTGGCAGGAAAAAAAAAAAAAAAAACTGGCGAGGAGTTTAACTTTAGATTCAAATAAGTTCGAAATCTGAAATTGCAAAAAAAAAAATAATAATAATAATAATCAGAATCAAGAGCTCCCGGTGTAGCAAAAAACCTAAAATTGGACACCTGCGCCCCTAAGAGCTAGGCAGCAGGTTTCTTCTCCCACAAGCCACCGGAGTCATGCACTAAAGGCTCCAGACAGAAATACCTCTATAGGTTTCTCCGGCCAATTGGGACGTCAACTCTCGGACAACTACGGTGGCTTCAACCCAAGATCTCCAGATAAGCCGGAGAACTTGGGCATGTGGTTAGTGTCTTCTTGCCGTTTCCTTAAATAAAAAAAAAAAAACAAACCTTGTAGCATCTTTTTCAGAGACTCCTTGGAGGTCGCACCGTCGCAGTGTGTTTGTTCTTTAATTTTCCCACTTTTTAAGTTTGGACTTGATTTTTTTTTTTTAAGGAAACTGCTTCTATATAGACAAGCGGCTAGTTGATTAATTATGACGAAGGTTCCTGGAAATATCTTCCAATATGTTAAGTTAAATTTATAATTTTAATATTGATTAGTCAAGATTGCAAATGTCGTGAGTTTTAGTACTAGTTAATCAGTGGCATTTTGGGAGAGGTTTTGCACTGGTTCGCCTCGCTTCTTTCTTTGTTAATTATTATGTATAATTTCTTTTCTTTTTGTTTGGGGGTACAATTAATTATGTATAATTTCGTTACTGTTGATTGTGACCAAAGTCCAAAAACCGCCGTTAGGTGCCAGGCCCTGGCTACAACATGATGTACTAGGGGTGGCATACCCCCGGAATGTAAGAATCTAGGCTTTTGCCTCCTTTTTTGTACCAAAAAAGTCCAAAAACCGCGTTAAAAATAAACTTTATTTGGTGTAGTGTGTTTTTTTTTTCAGTCCCAAAAAATTAATTTGTGATGTAGTATATTTGAGTTGAACAAAATCCATACAAGATTTTTTCGGAGTAGATAAAGAGTCAAGGTCAATGTATTATTAAACCATATAGTTAATGATTTTTTATTTCCTACCTGCTGTGATTATTCCAACTATTTCAAAGTACATGTACTCTTCGAATTATTTGTTTTGTTTTTTTAGTGTGTATTTTTTAGATTGTTTTTGTATTGAAAATGTAAAAAATATATTGAAAATGTAAAAAGTTATACTAGAATGAAACAGTAATAATAATTTAATATGAAAATACCATCAAGAAAAGGAAACAAACAAGGATTTCCGACAAAACTCATTGCTTTGTGCATTTATCCATAATTACGACCATTTAATCCCAACTTTGTCTCTGCGCACTCCCATCAAATAGCTTAACTAACACGATTGTGCAATTACGAGACGTATATCATCCCTGTGTCCCAAAATGGTTGCCCATATTAGATTCTCATTTTTTAATATTTGTACTCTAAAGTAAAATTTTAAATTAGATAAATATTATGAGAAAAAGAAAATACTCCATCTGTCCCAAAATTATTGTTCAATTTGAGATTTCACTTTTAGTACAATGTAAAGAAATGAAGATCTAAATTGTACGATAATTACGGGACGGAGTAAGTACTATATCTATGTACACGCAAATATATAAAGAGATAGATATATTCGCTTAATGTTATTTGTACTTTAGTGAAGGCATGAGCCTTAATTTCAGTGTGACATCTTAGTCTATAATCTTATGTCAGGAAAAATAAGATTAGATTTGTCCTCCATGAGATTTCAACAATCTAAAACTAAAACAAACACCTTATCCCTAACGAACAATATTTAATCGCGGTCTACTTCATGAGAGTTTGTTAACGCTAATAAACTACGAAAGCCAACTTAGCTGGAGCAACTAATCACCACAAACTAGTTACTTAATGACGTTTGTTATGTCCTGCCTTGGTTGTCAAAATGGAAGTTTGTGAAATATTTTAGCAATGTCTTAATTAAGTCATTCTCAAAGTCCAGCAAAACTTGGCAAATTATGATCCATTTGAAATATCCCCCATTATTAATTTCAAGAAATCATCTACCAGAAGTAATATATGCATACTTCCTTTTTTTTTTCTTTTTTTTCTTTATATTCTTGTAAACATTAAAGGACGCAGTAGGGTGATTTTAGTTTTCAATAATTTTCATATTGCAATTTTATTTTCAACAAATTTTCACATTGCAATTTTATTTTGCGTAATATAGTGTAATAGAAAAGTAAATTGAGTATACCATGCCGGCAATAGGGAAAGGATGCGCCCCCTCGATTTTTTTTTCCTGAGTTTTAAATACTTATTGAAGAAAAAGTTGTAATTGGTTGACTTTGCAACCTCTCCAGAAATTATTAGAAGGTTTTCAGTTAATTCATGTAAAAATAAAAAATTTAAATAATGTCATATTACTATATGTTATTAACTAAAAATATCTTAAATGACGAAAAAATTTCCAATATTTTTATTTAATTTTACAATTTTTAAATAATAATGAGATAAAATTTATTAACAACAATGATATAAGATGTTAGAACCAAGTCAATTATAATAGCGCACATTTGAGATTGAAGTTAAGGCCTAAGTCTTATTGATGAAGTGAAACTAATTAGTTATTACTATACATGGTCTTAAATGAGAAAGAAAAATAGTAATTTTGTATGGCTAATCAAATGAAAGATGTGAAAACCCAAATCAATTACCATAGCGCACCATTCGCGATTATTAATGAAATGAAACTAATTCATTTAGTAACTTTCTTGAATGAGAAAAAAGAATTAATTATTTTGTATGATTGTTTTTGGAAAAGAATGAGTAATGCTTACATATATTTTTTCGGGTTTTAGTACACTTATTTTATTGATTCTATTCCACGCCTCCTCCATAGAAATTCTAGTTCTGCCACTATTTGTGAGACTGAGACCCAGTGATTTAATTTCGTCTGGGACGAGAAAGGTTATTTATTAATAAAAATGAAAAAAAAAACAAATTAATGAGCGTCTTTCTTACACATTTATAAAACTGACCTCAGTCTAAACAGAAATTGATCCGTGGACCCTTGGAAAACTGATTTAAAATCTTCAACCATATACAGAATGTACACATTCTCAAATTACAAGCATATAGTACGTTAGTACAATAGTTTGACAAGTTACTCTCTTAAGGAGGGAATGATGGAAATACTCAATATTGTACTAGGAACTTCATATAAGTGTTAAATTTGCGCGTTATAAATTATAACATACTCGTAACTATGTTTAAGATCTGTGCGCATTTGTATTTTAGATTTCAAGTAACAGAATCTGCCACAAAACAAATAGTAATATATATGGATCGCTAAATCACCAAAGACTAAAGTGAAAAGGCAGGCACTGCAACCATGATGAAGAAATTTCCGAACTAATTTATCATGAAAGTGAACTTAAGTGGTTAGATATGACTTTTCCAAATCAAATTATCATCTTTATCAAGTGATGTGTCCCAAATTTTTGTTACGACAAATTGAACATTTAATCATGGGCACCCAACCCAATCACATCATCACTTTTTAAAAACCAGATTGTAATAATTGACACGATTCAATGATTAAATGATGCTCCCTAAGACCCATAAAAATAATAGAAAAGTTAAAAACTATAGCATTCAGGTGCAATTTACAACGTAAATAAATTATTTTTGTGAGGTAAAGGAATACTATCTTATCGTATAAAAATAACGTAAAAATTGCCAAAGCATGCCATTTGAGTCCAATGTATAAAATCAAAACGTAATCTCTGAGCAAGAGATGCATGATCATTTAGCTCGGGATTCTGAAAGAAATTAGGACACTATGAAGACTGTGTTTTAGCGTGAATCTTGAAGTGTATAGGCTTCAGATTAGAAAGAATTTTTTTTTTTGAATTTTTTTTCTTTTAAAGTTTTGTTTTGAAATTGGAAAATAACATTTCTTTTTTTTCAATAAAATTCTTTTCAAAAGTAAACTAAGATCAACGAACTAGATTAGGGGTAGGTTAAAACTTCAAAATGAGTTAACTAAAACTACACTTGTACAATATTAATTTACAAGAGTGTTACAAGAAACTATAACCCAAGACTGCGTGTGTCAATCAATTACCTATACTCCTCTAGTCTGAAAATTATTATTATCTTATTTGTTTTACTAGTATTATTTTTTGGTCCAACAAAAAGAGGACCTATGTGGTAGTATTTTATTTGCCCTGGTCAAGATCAGCTCCGTCCTTTAGATTTCCTATGAAATTCCCTCTTAATAAGCTCACCTTATAAATTTCTTGGAAATTAAATGTTCTTCAGCAAATTATTAACCACTCCGTATTTGAGTTGATTCTAGGTGTTCAACTTCTTTTCCGGGGCTAGCGTTTTCTGAAATATCCTGAACTTGTACTAAGTTTTGCACTCTTTCTGATGTCCTAATAAGGCATACAATTAGTCATTAACATATAATACTACTATATATAGATGATCATGTTCTCGCAACATTCTATCACAGAAGTTAATGTAGCATAATCAGTTCTTTGGACTTCTTCCAACTGAACTTTTTGTCCGGTTCGATCTGTACTAGATTGGATTTCCAAAGATTTAATATAATGTTTATTCTCTGGCGAAGTCAAGATATCAACAGGACTGTGTGATAGTTTTGGACTCGAAATTTCAGGCTACTGATATTCATAGGTAGCTTAGATTTCATAAGCACATGAAATGGGTGTGCACAAATACGTTGAAATTTAAGTAAGATGTCAGGAATTAATATAGAGAAATCCCAGTAATGTGGATCACTTAATAAGTAGGACTGATTCAAAACTTACTGCTTGACCTCTGAGGTTTAAGTTAGAGGCTTTAAACTTATTAGTCTGTATTTTAGAGTCTCAGGAGACGGAAATCATCTTTAAGATCAGAATCAATAGTTTCCTGGAAGATTTGTGAATACTGAATTCGATTAGTGGAGGGTAACTCGCGTTTTCGGCTTTGAATTGTGCAACTTTAGAGTGAGCAATGGGTTGAGAAACATAAATGTAAGAGAGCTTATGAACCAAGATTATAGCAATCGGACTATATCATCGGAATAAATCTCATCTCCAAATGATGGTTTGAAATTATTGATTCGGCGCAAAATGGATAACGTTTCAAGGTATGTTGATGCTATGAAGGAGAGGAGAAGGCACGGAGATGCTATGGAGAAAGGCTTGCATGATGGCTGTTTCATTGTTGAATTTGTTGGGGGTGATGGTAACAGATGGTTGTTTTGTTATTGAACTAATTCTCAAGTTTTTGGTTTTTTTTTTTTAAATTTAAATGTTCTAGGGTAGCGAATCTACCTCTAAGAAGAATGGAATGGACTGCAGCGAGATCTTATAATGTTGTTTGAAAATCCAATTTCCTATTCTTTGTATTGAGTAAATTGTATGAAATGATTGAGCCTTCAGACCAACATAGCCAATTTCATCAACATGGAAAGGATTCCAGATTTGGAGGTCCTCAAGAGATGGCGGCATCAAACATTTACTTGACCTAATACACAGACATTGGTCCACCTGGAAACTTGAAGGCACGAATCGCATTGCTATTGAGTAATATTGTGGGAAAACTGTTCAACATTGTGACAGATTACATGACATTTTTCGGTTGCATCATTAAGTCAGTTTAAGATGCTGAAAAACTACCGAGTCATGATACTTTTTGAGGTTTTCATGGTGACAATGAAGCTGTTTGTCGAATGTTCAGCACTATATATGAATGACTCCATCAGTGGTCCTGGTTCATTATGCTCAATTACTCTTAACTACGTGGATGGTAAATTTACGGCATCAGTTTTACCATTGATCTACTGCCTTTGTATTGTTGCTGCTCACTTTGTTGCATATTTTTCTTCAGAGTTTGGCTTGGAAATACCCTTAGTTTGACAAAATGTAGGACCATACCTCTACGTTAATTTAGAGGAGACACTTTATAGTTAGCAATATATTTCCATGTCTTCCCTGCATATGTAATGATTTAATCACCATTTTAATTTGTTATGAATGACTTTGATAAACCTGTTACGTTGCGCTTCGGCAATCCATTGTTCCAGCTTCTTGTCAATCATGCATATTTGAAGACTTGATTCGCAGAAAATTGGTCAATAGGATAGTATATCAGTTGCTCAGTTGCTAGAGAAATATGTATAAAGGTTTTTCACCAAGAAAAATGACAAAAGCTTACTGACTCTTCAGACAAGCTCAAAAAGACGTCTGGTTACTACTAATTAGTTAATTCCATAGTTGTGTCCAATAGATTGCCAATTACTACCTCCTCAAGTCCTTCGTTTCTAAAATCATTCTTGATGAGAATCATGTAGCCTTCCATGGTGATTCTCCTAGTGAGAGGAATGAACTAGTCCTTCATTCTAATTTTGGAATGCCAAGTTTACTTTGCAGGCCAATCAAGGAAGAAAGGATGGATCTTGACTACCTATGTGATAGGGAGTTGGTTTAAGAGAGGTATGATCAAGATGATGAGAATGTCATTAACTTTAGGGTTCAAACCAAAGGAGATGATGACCTCATGGAAATAAATGCTGAAGAGTATCAAGAGAGTTTGACTCTGTGTGCTCCATGAAGATCATTGATCAAGCTAGTGAGAAGAGTCATTTAGGTTCTTGAATGGACGGCCTATTTGATCAAAGTGTTCAAGATTGAGTCCATTGCTACACAATTCGATAGGTTGCAAACTATCTTAATTGTTTCAAGTGTTTTTCCAATCTTTTGGAGTCAGTAAAGAGAATTCTACAAGTTTTGGAGTAAATTGGAGTTTTCTAAAACTTAAGGGGCGCAAAACCAATATTCCACTTTTGGAAGGGCGTTCAAGACATTTTTGTTCAACAATTTGGGACCTGATTTTCGAGATTTAGTTATTGTCTAAGTCTAGGAGTTATTTTTGAGTTTTATCTAGTTAGATAAGCCATGTGGGCTGAATAAAACTAGAGTGTTTTGATTAGGAGTCTTAGATTCCTTTTAGATATTATCCTACTTGAGGATAAGTCATTTAGATAAGGTTTTCTAGATTTTAGATAGAGTCAAAGAGATCAAATACTCTTCTACTTCTACTCCTTGTGAGATAAGATTAGAGAGTCCTAATTGATCTTCTTCCTTGGTGCTGGCCGAATTTCCTAAGCCTATAAGTAGGGGGCATGGCCGAAAATCAAAAGCACCCTTGAGTCGTCATTTTTGTTGTCTCTTTTGAGAGTTTTTCCTGTGAGGAATTTTTGTTAAATGGAGTGTCCATTTTTCATGTCAAGTATGATTTAACCAAGAGAGTTTTCATCTTGTCTTGGATCTTTTTGATCTTGCAGAAACCGTTCTTTTTCAAGTATGCTTCTTGATAGAATTGTGTTAAAACAAAACTTCTTATTTTCATACTACTTCTAGTAGTTCGATTGATGAGCCTTTCTTTTGGCTTGGTGTTCGAATTTCATGATGAGTGTGTTCCTGAGTTCCATTGTGGTGTTTGTCCTACTTTTATTGGATGAGTTGTGCTTTGGCATAAGCATTTTGAGATAGTGTATGTGTTACATATCTTTGGTTGGTTATGAAAATTACTAATCAATAGTATTCCTTCATAGTTGAGCATTGTTTGCTCCTACCTTTCTTGAGTCTCTTGAATGATGGCTGATCGAGTATATTGAATGGTGTCCTTGCTATTCTTAGCGTGGGTTGTTGTTTAATTCGAATCTTTCATGGATAATGTGTTCTTTGCTTGGTTTGAGTTAAGGGATAGAATAACTTAGATAAACGATCGTCTTACTGTAAATTTTCCGCACTCTTTTGAGTTTCACGGGATAGACAAATTATCTTCGTACTTTCTTGTTGATGGTTGCATTAACAAAATTTGCTTCGTCTACGAGATTGCTATCAATTCTCCTGCTTCAGGACATTAAAGATGAAATCATTTTGCTATGGAGTTACTAACATTATAAATTGCCTTAGTGGCTGGTCTATTCAGATTAAAATATGAATGCACAACAACCCTTTACCTAAAGGATATAATGATCCACTTGAATGGTGTAGAATTTCAAAGTGGTGCTATGTATTGTATTTGCCAAAGTCGAGATTGGCTCCATCTGGTTCTCACTGCTTTATTGCTTACAAACAAGAGTCGAGTCCATGCTTTGTATTTCCTACGAAATTTCCACTTAAGCTCACTTTAGTTTCTTGGAAATTTTCGTCAAAAATTTTTTTTATTTAAATATTTGACTAAACAGATGATAAAAAAAATAACCCTGATTTTTTATACTGAAAAATTCAGTGTCTTGAGCCCTGTAAGATCTGTTCCAAGATAGCATTTTCTGAAGAGTCCTCATTGATTTTGTAAGTTGTTACTCTTGATCATGCTGCCATTCAATTTCTTCTTTTATCTGTTTGCAGAGGGCCTTTTAATCCTTCAAGAGCTTAAATTTCTCTTTGCATACATCTGTTAAGTTAAGTTAGGACTATCAAGTTATTCTGACTGAACCTTTTGTTTCACCAGTACTTGATTGGATGTCCAAAAGTGTTAATTTTCTACAAAACACTTAAGATGACTCATTGCAGCAGCATGTCATACATCATACTCCTCTCCAAGCAAGTGCCAGATTGAAACATATAATGAGGAATCAGTTTATATGCAGGCTCAAAAGATTTGCTGAAATTTCCAATTCGAAATTTTCCTGGTGTTGATAATCATATTGTTCGGAATCGATCCTAAACATTAAACCTGGTTTTCGGTTCACCTTACTTATTAAGTGCTCTACATCGCTCTATAAATCCAAGGTGGGATTTACGACACCTATCCAAGCCTTTCAACATGTAGATAGATAGATTTTTTTAGACACAGAAAATCGGAAACTGTGTGTTTCAAAACTCAAGGGTAAACTGCGAGTAACATTTGTAACAGAGAGAAATATATATCACAAATTAGGCAAGACAGACTCAATATTACTTACCAGTTTAACCTCTTAAGTTTGAGTATAGCTTTAAATAATCAATCTTTCTAGCAGACTCCCTCAGGAGAAATCATCCTGAAATGGTATCAGAGTCCATGGTTATTTGGTGGATTTGAGTGTATGATGAGTGGATGGTTAGGCATAAGTTATGCATATGAATTATACATGTGGCTGTAGATCTTATGTGCTCCTTCGCAATTATAAAGTTCGCCAAAGTTTTAATTGGAGTTGTTCCGTCAAATACTGGTGTGTCTCAGTTTTACCTATTATGAATTTGGTCAAGATAATGCAGGCAGAGATTGCTACTTATAAGATTAGTACTTATGAATTGTCACTCCCTGGAAATTTACAAAAACAATAGCATCAGCAATTTCTGCAATAAATATTTTAAGTAGAGATTAATTAGATTTGTGATCAAACTCACATTTACTCATAGTTGAATTAGTTTGTGAAGACTTATTTACTTGTGTCATGTGCTGCTTATCTTTTATGTCTGCAGTTTGGTTCTCTAGAGATCATGCCGTTAGGACAGGAGCAGATCTTTCCATTGCTATTGATCGAATGCTCAAAAATGCCGTTGGCTCAAAATCAGAAGTTTGCATCTTCAGAGTACACAATGTTTTGAGAAACATAAATGCCAAAGCTTATGAACCACAGATCATAGCGATTGGACCATATCATCGAAATAATCCTCATCTCGAAATGATGGAGAAACACAAGTTGGAGTTCCTACATTCATTGTTTCAGCGGAGAAATGAAAGAGTGTCAAAATATGTTCATGTTATGAAACAACTAGAGGAAAAGGCACTGAGGTGCTATGCAGAATCAACAGACCATCTTTCACCGGATGAATTTGTCAAAATGATGGTGGTCGATGGCTTCTTCATCATTGAATTGTTACTCAACTTTACAGCGCTCAAATGTTCACAGAAAAACAATGATCCTCCACAAAAGGTCGTCACAATGGATCCTCTTTTCAGAATGGAATGGATGATGAGTTTTCTGCAGCGAAACCTAATGTTGTTCGAGAATCAACTTCCTTTCTTTGTTTTAAGTAAATTGTATGAAATGATTGATCCTTCAGGCCACCAGGGCATTTTCATCAAGAAGGCGTTGGAATTTTTCAATAATCTTTTCCCAGATTATGGAAAGAACACCAGAATTGAAGCTTCTCAAGACAATAACATCAAACATCTACTTGACTTGGTACACGGAAATTGGTCAAGCCTGAAACTTGAACCTAAAGCAGATTTCACATGTAACATGAAAAATCTTAAGTGCATCGGAAGTGCAACTGAACTTGCAGAGGCTGGAATCCAGTTATAACCATTGAAGACAGAATAGAATGTCTCCTTAGGAATCTAACCGCGTACGAGCAACACTGTTGGGATACTCATTTCAACATTGTGATAGACTACATGACATTTTTCGGTTGCCTGATTAATTCTGTTGAAGACGTTAAAAAGCTATCGCGCCATGGAATTCTTCGCAGCTTCATAGGAGACAATGCAGCAGTATGTAAAATGTTCAGCACTATGAATAATTGCATTGTTGGCCCGAGTAGGAACTTCCATTATGCTCATTTATTCAACAAAGTGAACAGGCACTGTGACAGACATTTGAATAAATGGATGGCGAGTTTTCGGCGCAAGTATATACACAGTCTATGGGGTGTAATTTCGATTCTTATTGCCTCTGCATTGTTGCTTCTCGCTTTGTTGCAGGTTATTTTCAGATTGTAACTTGGAAATACCAACCCCATTGCAGCAACATAAGATCAGACAATTAAGACACTATGGCTAGTAAGAGATATTAAAGTTCGCACATTTAATGGCCATTTCATACAATCTAAATGGTCATCATTATCAATTCATCATTCCATATCCATGTAGCTATTGTAAACTGAATTTGTAATGAGTGACTATGATGAACACTGAAGTTGAATTTGGGCATTTCATTACTTTCAGTTTCTTGTTTTTTTTTTTTCGTCTAACTAATTGGTGATTCATGGAAGAGACGAAGTAGCAAGGGAACTCATTCTCATTTTTTTTCTTGATCTTTTTAATTATGATGAGAATCCACAAACTTAAATTTTACTTACAAAAGTGATTCATAAACCGCAATATAATGGCCACAAAGTGGCCAACGTTGACAATTTTATCCAACGGATTTAGCTATCTTACACAATTGGCTATAAAAATAAACTCAGTCTCACACAATTTGGTATAACACTCATGAAAACAAGTAATTATTATCAAAGTCTTGTCGATTTATGCAGATAACATACATCTTACAATCCTATTATAGACAACTCGAGAGGTGTTTTCTTCCGTCTCGGATATGTAATTCACTTTGTTATACTGTTTTAGTTCAACAGATTAAACTATTTTTCAAAAATTGTTTATATTCATACACAACTACGTAGGAAAATAGATAACTTGTTAGAATCACAGCTAAATAAAAAGGTCTACCCTTGAAAATTACACTCTCGGCAATAATTGAATTGTTTAATTTTTAAAAATTAATTCTTGAGATTGGATTGGATTGCCTAATTTTATAAAATAGTCTATGATTACGATGACATGGATGGACTATGACCTTTTCGTTATCAATCCTTTTACACATTTTTTATATTATTATTACAAATCTGATAAGAAATTTTGCAATTCTAATATTAGAAACTGGAGTATACAAAATGGATTTAGCCAGTAATTTCTTTTTACTAAAAACTTAAATATTCAGTAGAAGATCTATGATAAGGTAAGGAATATTATCCGACGGTTCACCTTTAATCAATTAAATCAACGGTCCCGATTCAAACCTCCAATAACAACAGGAATCATACTAAAGCATCTTCCCGTCGGTATTCATTCGATTCAATTTGTTTTTGTTTTTTGTTTTTTTTTTTATATCTTTTCATTTATTTTTCTAAAAAAGTTATTAATATAATTTTCTTAAAGTGTGTGTTTCTCTTTTTCCCAACAAAAGGAAGGCAAAAAAAATAATAATAATAAAAATAAATAAATAAATAAAACAAAAAATTCAGTCTACACCTTCCCTCTTTTGCTTTCTCTCTCGCGATCAGAGTCGGAAGGACAATTCGTTAATGGAGGGCGAACAGAAGAAACGTTTACCGGTTCCGATGAATGAACCACCCACAGACCGCCCTGTTCGTGTTTACGCTGATGGGATTTATGATCTCTTCCATTTTGGCCACGCTCGCTCCCTCGAACAAGCCAAGAAATCGTAACTTTTCCCTCCCTTTCTTTTGCTTGTTTAGATTGTGGGATTCTTATTAGGAAGCTTTTCTTTTGCTGGTGATTTTATTTATTTGGGTGTTTTCGTTTGGTGGGTTGTTAATAATTTCTGTCTTTTTGTGGGCATTGTATTGTGGATGGATTCGGTTGTTTTCCGTAGATTGGCTCCCTTGTGTCTGAATTATGGTTTTGGTGGAATGAAGTTGAAGGGGAATTAGCTTTCTGGTTTTAATTAGTAGAAAGTTTGGATTTTTGGGTGTATTTTTGGTTTGGAAGTTATTAAGCTTCTCTCTTATGGTCGTCCATTTTATACAATGTTTATTAAGTTTTGCGAATTCTGGAGGGAAAAAACTTCAAGGAGCATTCTTGAATGAAGTATGAAATTGTTGCTTAAGCGTATGTGATATGTCTAGTTCAAGGAGATTTAGATGATTGGATCATTTTTCTTTGACTTGCTATTGAAATAGTTGATAAGTCCTAAAACTGCCTGTAGTCATTTATCTGCTGTTTAATGACTTTTCATGTATCATGATAAACTCATTATGTAGCTACATGTATCTGTTTGCATCGCTTTAATGTGTAATTTGTGCTTTTTTGGTTTAGAATATCCGCATAATTGTCCTGTGGCTGGTTTCAATGTGGTCGTAGTTCTGTTATGTGATTCTGGCTAAGATGAATTCAGCAGTCCATGATGTATTGTGTTTATACTTGATAGTTCTCTAACAATGCTGCAGCAAGGGTCCTTCATTTTGGTAACATGAGTTTGTAACTGATTTTTTGCAGCTTTCCAAATACCTACCTCCTTGTTGGATGCTGCAATGATGAAACCACCCACAAATACAAGGGTAAAACAGTAATGACGGACTTGGAGCGATATGAATCTCTACGTCACTGCAAGTAACTTTTGCCACTTGAGTACTGTTTTTTAAATTGTTTGGATTGTTTTGTAATTCTTATAAATGTGAGAAATGTGGATATTAAATTGGATGTGCACTGTGACCTTCCTTGGGTTAAATTTTCTTATATCATGTGTTGGTACAGGTGGGTTGATGAAGTTATTCCAGATGCTCCTTGGGTGATTACACAAGAGTTCCTTGACAAACATAAAATTGATTTTGTGGCACATGACTCTCTTCCGTGAGTCCTACAAACCAATACTTTGTTATGCTTATCTCAACCCTAGGTTTAATATTACGTCGATGCATAGTAGCTCTAAATGAAGAAACTTCCCTCCCTACACCCCCTCTCTTTCCAATGTTTGTGGCAAGAAGGCCCTGTAAAGCTAAAAATATATCCAGAGTGAACGGATAGTTTGCAAAGTATTCAACCTTTTTTCCTACTCAATGTCCTTTGTGCTGCTCCTTCACCATATCTAGGCACAAGTAGTTAATGAGAGAAGAAACTTTAAGAAAGTTGAACATCTTTTGCACTATCTGTATTCCTCATTTGTTTCCTATTGTTTTAACCATCATAATGATTCGCTATTCAAATGTCAGTTATGCTGATGCAAGTGGTGCTGGGAAAGATGTGTATGAATTTGTAAGTTCAACCTAAAAATCTTTAGGTGCATGCTTTGGCTCTTTCTGATATATATATATTTTTTTTGTTGGTGATTATCCCTTCTGGTTTTGACAATTTTCCTGCACCTCCTATATGCTTTGACTTAAAATCTGTTATCTGCTTTATTTCATGGTATTTCAACATTTCATGTGCAGGTCTAAATCCATATGCATGTTTGTGATAAATTTATCAATTTCTATCTTTAGGTTAAGGCTGCGGGAAAGTTTAAGGAAACTCAGAGGACAGAAGGAATTTCGACATCTGATATTATAATGAGAATTGTGAAGGATTATAATGAGTATGTGATGCGCAATTTGGATCGCGGCTACTCCAGAAAAGATCTTAATTTAAGCTATGTGAAGGTAGAGTTGCATGTATTGAAGATCACTTTAGCTTTATCATTCCTGGTGTATAAGAGTCTCTGTTATCCATATTGGTATTAACAATTTTCTGGTTTGTTGATTGAAGGAAAAAAGATTGAGGGTGAATAGGGGATTGAAAAAGTTGCATGAGAAAGTGAAGAAGCATCAAGAAAAAGTTGAAGAGAAGGTATCTGAGTTTTCTCTTATGCTTCAACTGTTTATATTTAGCCTTCAGAATTCCTTATGGCGCCAAAACTATCTCGGAAGTTTTTGTTTTGAGGGAGTCAATGTTTTCAATGAACTAAAGATTTAGAACCAAATTGATTTAAGTGTGGATTTCTTGACACCATGTAAGTATGATGCTTTAGCCTTCAGAAGTCCTTATCAAGCCAAAACTAGTATTTTGCCAGTATTTTCTTTTGCAGGAGTGAAGTCACTGAAGATTTAGAACCAAATGATTTCATGTTAAGTGTGAATTTCTTGATGCTATGTTTTGGGAAAGTATGATGCTTTCTGCCTCTCTTCTTTCATTTTTCTTCCCATTTCTGAACTTGCCTTATCTTTCCTTTTTCCTTGATTTTTCCTCCTGTCCTTTTAATCTAGCTTCCTGCAACTAGCCATCGCCATTGGGTCTTCAATTAGAGAAGTCAACCATCTGGAGCTAATATTATGTTCTGACTCAGTGAAGGAACTCCTATCTGGCCAACTGGACTAAAAAATTTTAAAAATGTCGACTGCATGCTTAAGTTGATTCTGGTTTTCTTTTTATCGTCTTGTAATCCTGCCTGAACTTTTACCCAGGATAGGAGAATCACATGCCAACTTTTTTCCAGGCCTGATTCAGTAGTCTTCTTTTGATAGCATGTTTATCACTGTATCTCTGCATAGCTTCCGTGTAATGTTGATCCAATGTGTGAAAATCTCGGTTCCTGAAGCTTCTTGTGTGTATATCTCGCGGAATTGTCACGCTAATAAGGCCAAATGTACACCCTTTTCTTTTATATTTTCAAGTGGCTGTTCTGCAACTTTAACCGTGACAGCAGCTCTCTTCCCTGAGGCCTCCCCAGTCTTGTCACCTATGCTTGAGGCTAAAAAGGAGCTAGTCACATAGAAATTCATCACCTATTTGTGAGAATAAATTGCCCCAGTTACAGGGAGATTCCTAGTAATTGTTTGAGTGAGTTGCATATTGGCTTTTCAATGCGAATAAAATGGCCTAGTTAGAGGAAGATTTAGTAACAGGATCAGTTCATATTCACTTTAATTCGTTTGTAGTAACATTGTTGACTATATGTAGCTGCTCCTCTCAGCTTTATATGCTGGTGATTTTCTTAGTTCAGACACCAAATGTTAAGACATAAAGATATTTAACATTGGGTTCTGTTGGAAAATTACAGAAGTGAGCTATTCTTCTGTTGAACAATTATGGAACCTTGGATTTACCAAATTTAAAATTGATGATTTTCCTGCAATTTTGCAGATAGAGACAGTGAAAAAGCACCGAAATATATGGGTGGAGAACGCTGACAGATTGGTTGCTGGCTTTCTTGAGATGTTTGAAGAAGGTTGTCATACATTGGTAATTACTTTAACTCTAATCTCAGTTCTCCAAGAACCATAATATACTCTTATGTAGTAAAATCTTGTTTGGTTCTTGCATAAAATCTTAGTTTTCCGTTGGTGAAATACATGTAGATTAGGGATTATGGTTTTCACTAACTACTGATGGATATGGATGGAAAAGGTTAAAAGTAACAATATCGAGAACTGGACCAGCCTGAATATATCAATTATGATGCTCATTTATTAGAAAAAAGGAAATTAAAAGGTCCATGAAGTATATTGAAAAGCAAATGCTATGTATTTGAGGAAAGTATCATAAATATTTTTATTGTATTGACTACACATCACCTCTTAATGTTATTTGTACTTTGGCTAATCGGTTCTTTGATATGTGATCTCTTACCTCCACTCAGTCTGTTTTTAATGGCTTTGCCTTGGGATGATTAGTTAAACTTATCAGAAAGATTGGTTTTTGTATTAGGGAACGGTCATCAGGGATCGGATTCAGGAACAAATTGGCACAACAAATATACGAGGACTCATTTATGATAAAGAAGATGGCAGTAGTGATGATGAATATTACTATGACGACACTACTGATGAAGAGGAGTACTATGATGACGAGGGTGAGGATTGACCTTCATCCGTAAAGAAAGGTAATTCCCAAATGTGTGAATGCGGGCTATAGTTTGATCAAAATTCAATAAGTTTGTGGTGCTCTCCATTTGTTAATGCTTCTTTGAGAAAGAAGAAAACGTGCCTACTAGTGTGCCCCATGATGTGTGATCAGTGTATTTGTCGTCTAGCTTATTTGTGCTTGATGTGTTTTGTAGAAAGTTTCAGGTGCAGGTTATTCTCTTAAAGTGGGCTTTTAGAAAAGCTGAAATGTATACAGATCTGGAGATTATAGAATCAGTATTTTAAGAAGTTAGAGATTTGTTTGATTAATAAATAGATGATTTTAATCAAAGACCGATGTGGTCCTTGCAAGTTTTACCATTTCCTCCCCATCACACCCCCCCCCTTCTTTTTTTATTTTTTGTTTATTTTCACCAGAAGTATTTGCTTATACATTTTCATTTTTTCTGTGATAATAGTACCTATATTATTCTCCTACACATTTGGATTGGGCAAGTTTGATAGAGAGATAGTAGTCATTGGATAACAGCTCGTGTTCAAGCTATATGGTCAATTCTTGTTTTATAAAGAGAGAGTATTCTGCAAAGTTACGCCATCGCTATTACCAGCAATGATCTATGCCCTTCTCTTAAAAAAGCAATGATCTCTGGTAACAATGATACCCTTTAATCATATCAATCCTCACCCTCCTAAAATCATCCAAACTCTCCTTGGATGTACTGTTGTGTCTCTAAGAAATCGTCACGCTCTAAACACTACGGATTCGGAACTGCCCATTTCAACAAACTGTCAAAGATTTCAGTTTCGGCCTGTCTCTCAGGTCACTGATCAATTGGAATAATAAGTCTTGAGTACTTGCAAGTTGCAACCTCACCATAGTTTTAAGGGTTGTTTAATGTTTATAAACAACAAACGTTCTGATTCGCAACTAGGTAAAATCAAAAGATACGAGAAGGAAATACGCATGGACATACCCAAGAGTTTTTCTTTTTCTTCTGTTGTATGATTTCTTTTTGTTGAGGGAAAAGCTAAGCTAAATACATTAGATGTGCGTACAAGGATTATCTCACTCATTGAAGGGAATTCTACAATCTATCAGAATTATTCACATAGCTGAACAGCTACCAGAAGTCTAAGAACACCTTGCCTGAACAACCAATGTCTTTAGGGTACCTCGGCATCGGTCTCCAAAGATTGAATTTGACACCATAGTTGCACAGCTGTTTTTTCCCACACAAGCCTGCAAAAGTTTTACAATCTCCATAAGTTTTGCTAGGACCTTTTGATCTGTTAAACAATATCTACTAAATAGTAAAACTTCATTTGAGGTGATGAACAAGAGTGCATGCACATCCGGCAAAAGAAGTAGAAAACATACCTGAGATACGCATGAAGGGAATTCTAGAATTTTTCAGAGTTATTCACATAGCTGAAGAGCTACCAGAAGTCGAAGAACACCTTGCCTGAACAACCAATGTCTTTAGAGTACCTCGGCATGTGTCTCCAAAGATTGAATTTGACACCCTAATTGCACAGCTGTTTTTTCCCACACAAGCCTGCAAAAGTTTTACAATCTCCATAAGTTTTGCTAGGACGATCTGTTAAACAATATCTACTAAATAGTAAAACTTTATTTGAGGTGATGAACAAGAGTGCATGCATATCCAGCAAAAGAAGTAGAAGACATACCTGAGATATTAGAGATCTTGTGCTAGGAGCATGACAGTTTCCTAATGAGAAAGCTTGGCAGCTCCCATGAGGAGTACCGTAGCTTGCAAACTCTATTGAGGAGATAGAGTACCCATCTTCGCATTTCAATTTCATTACCGGTACAATGTCACTATCAGAAAATACCCCATTTTTTACGTATGAAGTTGACGACCATATTTCTAATGGTGGATAGTAGTCCTCTGACACTTTAGAACAAATTATTTTTGAGAAGCGCGTTTGAACAAAAATGTCAAAAGGCGTCTTCTCTGTTTCCTCAAAAATGACAAGTAAATTGCCTGATTTCTGCAACCATGATCTTGGGATGTGGTACCTAGAATTTCATAAGAGTGACTCGAATCGATTTGTGGATATAATCACAATTTCTGTCTACTTCTAAAGGATAGAAGGATTTATCACGTCATAAAAACAAAAATAAACAAGTTACAGGCTAGAAAGTTATGCTATGGCACGCCACAAATTGTTAACTCTTTTTTTTTTTTTTTCCACGTAAGAAAATCATTTACTTGTTAAGGATGTTTGCATACCAGACTTGAGTAGGCTCTCCACAATTTTTGGTGCATTTATCTGATTTATATGCACCACGATAGTCGCAAATATTTTGGCAACCATCTTTTGGAGCTTCAAGAGTCCAATATCTTCCAATGTGATGACCATTTACCCAAACCTGACCTTTTCCCATGCTTCTTAGATTCAGAGACACTGGGTCAGTCCCATCGGGGGCATCAAAATGAGTCTGCATATTATACAAAGAAGAACAAAGAATTTTTTTTTTTTTTTAAGAAAAAGAAAAAGAAACCTAGTTTTTACTTTTGACCAAATCAGACCAGCTTTAGGAGTTATTTATTGAAGGAACCATGAAACAGAACATCCTTGTTTAATGAAATGGATACTAGTGAATAATGAGAAAGCATACATCTCAAACACTAATGCTCATGGAAAGCATTTTTACGCAGAATCATTTTAAGCTCTATAAGAGAGTAGGACGGGCAACCTTAAAGTAAACAATAATTGACTATAAAGCATATATACTTGTAATTGTTATGATGATATCACGAATGAAACTCTGCCAAAAGAGAATAACTGATGCTTCAGTTCAATACTGCAATAGCATGGGAGTCGATACCTCGGCCATCATGAGATAGACAGATTTACATAACACAGTGCAATTTGTTCTCAACCTACACGCTAGACTATAGTCAACTTTGTTTTCAGATATGGCACCAGTTGTCCAACATCTAAATCTCTGAAAGCTGAAGACTCAATTGTTTCATTTGTCTTTGTTGGATCAAACTTTAGCATGACATCATTGAAATGGTGCAACAAAGAAGGTATATATCTTTTTACAATCTGGATAGACTGGAACTACACGGCACCATTTAAGGACACCTCCATATTTTATTATAAACTGTGCTCGAAAAGGATTAGACACACTAATGTATCTGCAGTCCATATGCTAACAAATTCATGCAGGCATGAGCAAGTGAAACAATGTTCACATACAGAACATTTACGATTTATGTAACAACTCGAAAATATGTCTACCAAACCTAAAAACCATAAGAGTAAAACAGGTTTACATGATACCGAAATTGAGTTACCTTGTACCAAGAAAAAGTGAACGGAGTTGAGCCAGGAGGAAAAGTAGTCCATCTAGCATTTTCACTTTCATCAACAGCATAAATTTTCTGATACTCACCCTGAAGCCCTACCTGAAATCATATTTTGCAGGTCAGGAGGTCTGGCAGAATTCCAACTTCCGAGCAGATTGGAAATAAACCACAAACTTATAACACAACGTTATTTACTATGGTTAAGTGTGTAATTAATGAGTTTGCAATGTCTTCCTACCCAAATTATTCCAAACAAGGACAAAATACTAAGCCAAAGCTCATCACGTTGAAGACAAGTTTCCAAAAGTACAGCAAAACCACTGTTTTCTTGGTTCTCAATTCTCCTCTATCAACTCCTAGATATGTTAGTTATGTCAGATCTGTCTTCTCATCATTTGTATCAAATCCGACGTGTAGCCTCCTATACTGAAAACCATGTTTCGCCTACTAAACTGCGTCAGTTCCTAACTTTCACATGTTGATGGACCAAGTCTAGATGTAGAAAACATGCAAGACCACCTAATAAGATTATTTTAATATCCACAAGTGCAATAGTTGCTATTAACTCATGTTCCTCATGAGCCAAAACCAACCTAACAAAGTACCTTCCAAGCAGCACCGAGAAAGAAAGACAAATGAGATCTGATGTCTTCCGTTTCTTTCTGAAGGGTGCAAGAACTCTGATGACCAATATTTGGCAAGGAAACTTCTAATGGTCTATCATCGTTACATAAAATTTGAGATGTATAACAGCAGCGTAAGTTCATTCCAGATTGAGTAACAATGGTAGCACATAAACATTTTTTTAATGTCCAAGGAAGGGAAAGATATCCAGAAAAGGAAGCTGGTAGTCAGTAAGCTTAGTTCTGATGCACGCGTGAACATAAATTTCTTTATCTTTTTAAAGTACAGAAATCACAAAGGTCCAGGATGGTGCAAAATGAGATAAATCTATTACCTGGTAAGTCCAAGATGACTTAGTAAGATCTAGATCTCCATTCTTAAATCCCACCAATTTGATTGGACCCCTAAAACCTGCACCATCTTTCTCAAGCTTCGCACCATAATTCTGATGAAATCACAAGATAATCGAGATATGTGTGAGAGGATGCAAAATATCGAATTTGAGTAATCGACTTATTGTTACACATAACACATAAAAAAATAAAGGAAACCAGAGCAAGATTAAGGAAAAAATGGAAGCAAAATAAGCATTACTATATATTATGTTCAGAAAAATGAGATAGTCTTACAAAATGGGTAAAACAGAACATGACAAACATGAACTATCTACAGACTTCACTCAGTTCCTAATCTCTTAGGCACTTAAGCATAGAAGAAGAAACTATATTCTGAAAACAGAATACCTGCAAGCCCACCGTTTCAGACAGAAGAACTACATCATTGTAACCTTGTGAAAGATTAATAGGCTGTACCACCTTCACCCAATGGCCCTTTGCACTACCTTCACTTGCAAAACACATGTCAGGGGCAGAAATTATATTGAAATCAGAAAGTGAGTATGAAAGTCCAGAAATAAGGAAAAGCACAACATGTATTTAGGTACTTTACAAGTAACATTGATAGGCCGTAGCATGTGGAAAATCAGATCCAGACACTTCAAATCAATGCAAATTTAAGGCAATTAGATGGAGGATTATGAAATGTTACATAAAGAAATAGTTCACTCTCAAGCTAAAGCTTGTTATCTTTTTTAGATTTGTTATATACATTACACAGTCATGTCAAGATGGATCGTTGCCCATGTTAGCATTTCAATGATTTGCACTTTACAGCCGATAAAAGAGCTCCCAACTCAGCGAAAAAATGAACCTCACAAAGAACACCCTTTCTCACTGTCTCAGCTCTTAACTCAAATATACAAACTAACTCATCTGCTGCAGCAAAAACAAACATTTTTCTAGCCATTTCATTGCCTACTCAGATTACTAAACATGAAATTCTAGAGAAATATCTCATCGGCTCATATTAGTAATAATTCTGAACACAAGACAAGATTTTATAAATTTCCATTTTTATTCATTCCCAATGTAGAGTACAAAATACCATATCACCAACTCTTAGTAACAGTTTTAGATAAGAGTTACAACAAACTTTAACTAGTTAGCTCCCAGTTTGCCCTTGCAGGAACTGCAACGTTTTATTGATGGAACGAAAACATTTTCAGGAGTAAAGTTCTTGGCTGGCTCTATTACAAACTTGTCCAGGTTTGGCTATAATTTTTGGTTTAATAACGATAAAAAGAGGAAAAACAGGAGACATCAAAGCAATGTATTCTTTGACCATTTCAACATGTAAATAACTAAGAGCAATCATGAGCTTCAGCCAAACATTTGCAACATGCACTCTTAGCATGCCTTTTTTCTATTATTGTTAAGAGTTTGGCTAACCATTTCAATGTGCAACTTCCTTAATTATAGAATACCTGAAAGCTTTCCGTTTACGAAGATCCTCACCACGTCACGCATGCTACTGATGTTGAGAAGAGGCTTGACTTGATTTTGCTCCCAAAATAACACATCGTCTTCAGAAATATAAACTCTGCATTTCCCCAGACATCATAGAGTATTATTTTTACTTATTATAAGGAGAGAAGAAGTTACAAATCACGGAAACAAATACATCACCTATTTACATATGGTGATAAAGGCATAATATGACTGCAAAAATTCTTGAAAAAGGCTGATGCCTGCAGCAAGTTATAAGCTAGGATATTTTCCAGTTTGAAAGAAACTGGTTTCAGGATAACATTTACTATAAAACAACAACAACAACAAAAACAACCTACCCAGGATATTCCCAAATCTGTTGGGGTTTGGGAGGTCAAGATGTACGCAGCCTTACCCCTTTATATCAATACAGAGAGACTGTTTAAGTAGAACGACCCAAGATGCATTGGTGCATTAATGTAGTGATAAAAATTACTATGCAATAGAAAAAAGAGAGACAATATCCATATGAATCAAACAATCACAATAAGCAAAAATATGGGAGAAATCGAAGACAAAAAGTTGAGCACAAATATTTTTCAGAAATGAAAATCTAACCACTTAAAAATACAGGTGAAAGATATCTATTCAACAATCAACAATTTTTTCAGATGTATGTGTTTGTAGTATTATGCCAAGTTTGTCTGTCCCATATCTTTCTAAATTCAATTTCATACTTCTCTATTTCCAGACACTCTTCCTCGGAAGAATAACAGAACCTAGACACATGTCCAAACCATAAGTTAAACGGAGATTTTCTCCTTTTCTCATCAAACCCTACCTTCATTCTAAAGCATTTATTACATGATTCTTTCTAGTACAGTGCGCCCAGTCATCCATATCAACATTCTCATTTGTGTTACTATATGATATCTTCAAATGATGTGGTGATGAAATAGCATTAGTGATTTTTTCACATTTCAAGTCAACTTAATATAGTAAAATAAAATAAAGTAACAGTTGCACAAAAGATTGAACATCAAACATCACACCCAAAGCCCGAATCCGTCTTTCAGAGCTAAAAGATCTGCCAATGCTGCTGGTTTTATGCATAACTTTATTATATTATAGAGGTTTAAAATTAAAGATCACCTTGTGAGTAACTTGTGGAAGTATGGTAATAAAAGAAAATACTCGCTGTCATGGTAAAATAGGCAAAGTGGGTCTCTCAATAGAAGCACCCGAAAGCTCTATGGTAAGACAATACTCAATATAAAGAAACCAAACGTAGTTACATGGCATCACATACTGCCATTTGTAAGTATTCATATACCTGGTTTTATACCATAAATAATCAGACAAGTCTTTTGTCACATTCAAATGTTCCAGTATGCCTGGGAAAGTAAATTTGTTATCCCCCCATGGACCAATTGGCTCTTTCCAGCTAGTCCAGGATTCCAAATTAGGTGCTACGATATCCTCAGTCTTCATTTGTGGCAAAAGAGAACCTTCTCGTGGTAAGGCGATATCCAAACTGACACTTTTCACAGAAATTTGGGCTCCAACCTGTCAAAACTATTATATTAAGTTCGGAAGGTTAAGTGGATCAGACAAAGATGAAATCCCAAACATGACGGAACTAAGATGTAAAACTGCCACTGAATACATCTTAATGTAGTTAGATTCATAGTTCCCCAACCAATAAAAAAAGAAAAAATCCCTAGAACAACTTGAATTCATTCCAGTTATCTTAAAACAATGAGACTAATCTCAAATACCAAGATGCTCTCTGAAAGAAAATGATACATACAACGCAATACAGGTCCATCGTATTTTATCTTAAAAGAGCGATACATGATAATAATTGTATGAAAGCACCACACGTTTTCTAGGAAACGCTTGCGAGAAAGATTCGACATAAGTTGAAAGATATATATAATCATGATATGCATTGTAAACATGAAACAAGGTGAATATCGACAGACCTTTGCAGTGTTGAAAGCTACGTTCTGGCAGTCTGGTAGTATACTAACAGACCACGGCGGTAAAGTGTACACTCGACCAAGAAATCGCACTGAAGCTGATTTATGCTCATCAATATTTGCAAGAAATGCTGAGCAGCTCTGGTATAAAGTATAATTTTGGCCACGGTCGCTTATATGTCCACGATACACGTGCGCCTGAAATAAATAATACAGATTGCATATCACTTGCAATTTGTAAGGGCCAATTTTTCAGGTACAGAAATGAAGGATTGATCGACTTGGTTTAAATAACTAAAGCATTGGTATATTAGCAAATAATATTACAATGATGCTAAACATTCAATGAAAATTTTCAAATTTATTAATTAAGAACTAAACTTTTATAACTCTCGAGGAAATGAGGATATTTGGTCCCAGAAGGCGGGATTAGCAATAGAAAAAGACTAGCTGAATCCCGAGTTTCATTTTCTTCTGTTTCACTTTTTCCTTCTCTGGGAAAATATATTGCAAGAAAACCCACTGTTTCAAGTGTAATAATACAACTTCAATACTGTTCACATGAATGTAATTATAAAATTTGCGAAGTTCAGGCTCTTAACTGACCTCTTGCATGGGCCCCAGTTTCATGTACTCAGATGAATCAGCAGCAACTAGAGCAGGTTCACAAAGCTTAATGGCAGCATGTAGATCTTTCAAATGACCCCATTTAGGTTGGCTCAGCAGTCCTTAAAGACAAGAAAATTCTCAATTAATACTTTCCAACTGAAAATGAGAACATAATGCCTTTCCATACATGGAGCTATTTAATCACTTTCTAACAGGACAAAGCAATCACCAGAGAAAATTTTAGGCAATCAAAACTCTGTGACCTACCATATTCATCAACTGGAGCATCATAGTCATAACTTGTAATCTGGTTTGGTCCACCTGAAGTTCGCTCAAAATTTGTTCCACCAAAAAACTACATACAAACCAAGCAAACATTCAGCGGGCAATTATGAACATGAGAAATGCGAATGAAACATCTCACAGTTCACTCTTCATAAAATTTTCCAGAAATTTGGAAGGTATTTCCTGATGACTAACTGATGGATACAGAAGATTATAGTTTAATGTTCTTAGAAGAAATGCAATCAGTTCAGATCACAAGATTAAGTGCTAATTAACATATATATAACTTTATCTTTTCAAAAGCAGATGCAGAAGAAAGATATTTGATAACAAGAACAAGCAATGGGAAAAATCATTGTAAGTGAGAAACCAGTGATGCCCATTCCTATGAACACTGCCCAGATTAAGTTATTTTTTTTAAAAGAAAAAAAATTTGGGTTAAACCCAGATTAATAAATTTCATCAATTCATGTCGCACCATATAGTAATTCATAAGGCTTCCTCCTCGTTGGAAAAAGCGAGCAACTGCAAATGCAATGTCTTCAACTGGCCTATGCGGGATTCTTCCACCCCAACTTGTATACCTGATGTTGAAGAAAAGAAAGACAGAAGAAGAGACATCAACATGGCGTTTAGAGTAAGTAAAGAATTTCACAACATAGTAACAAAATCTACAATACTACTGCAATGAAGCTTTATCAAATATTGTTTTTATTTTTTTTCTTCAACTGAACATTTTGCAGAGCTTTCCATAATCAATTAAGATCGTGCGAAAAGAAGCAAACATGGTCAGTATTACAACCAAAACATAAGAAATCTAATGTACCATCCATCCCAGTCTTCCGTCCAAATAACCGGTTTATTTGGGGAATTTGGCCTGAATCCATCACAGTAATAGGCATTGCAAGTATCTAGCTGTCAAAGAGTAACGTGAAGCTGTAAGAAAAACTTCAAAACTTAAAAATAATGAACTGGAAATATATGACTACAAAATTGCAAGGTCTACAAACAACTGCGATCAGGTGACATCGAGACATCCACCCCTAAATGGCTAAAATGCTACGATAAATTAACCATGAAAAGGTACAAAATCTAAATATACAAGTACGTTTCTAACTCAAGGACTCACAATATACTCAGGAGCATCAACTTGTCTGCACATGATCCACGGAACACCAGCATTCAGCCCAACAGCCATTTCTGCAGCCCATTTCATATAAGCATTCCCTTTCGAACCAAAAGAGCTCTCAATGTTTCCATATTCATTTTCTATCTGAAAAAAAGGCCACAAGTAGAAGTAATGAAAAATTATCGAATGCAGAAGTAGAGACACCAAGACAAAAATTCTCCGGCAAGACTAATTTGGCATGATGACATGACAGAACTATTGCTTTATCATTTAGCCTTTCATATTAAAGTTATGCCATTGCTGATTCTTAAATGAGAATTAGCATTTCGATATAAAACAATGGCACATGATCCATAAAGCCCAATTTCTACAGTGGAATACATGCATATTTGTTGCATGAAAAACTCCAGTAAATACAACAAGAAGCCAGCGACAAGCGGCAACAAACATAAATCGCATGCAAGTGTAACTGGGTCAATAATTAGAGTCCAAAAAGGTCAAATAACATCTCACTACACTACAATGAAAAAGTAGCTGACATTTGAAGATCATAATGATCCAACCAAAAGTATTCCTTCGAAATTATCTTCATTCATTCGATCAAGTTCAACAAAATAATATGTTCCCATGGAGGTAATCAGCATATAACCTGCAACAGAATGATAGGACCACCTTGCCAAGAGAAAAGAGACTCTGCTCGCATCAACTCCACAATTTTTTCAACAAACCCTTGCATTTCCACCTAGCAGAAAGCAAGAGACTTTGTTATCGAAAATTTTCTGAGATAATGTTTGTGACGATTGAAATTTGATTTTGGGTTGAGATACAAATAAAACAACTTGCAGGTTCTGATTTTAACAGAGACATATAAAGCGATGACCCATATGTGAAGAATAAGAAATGTAATGACCTAAATCAAAAGATCATGTATGCATTCACAATACACTGGCAGTTTGGAGAACCTTCTCAATCACGTTTACCTTAAATGGTGCATTATCAGTTCGAAATTCTATATCAGGGATATCGCGGAGCCAAACAGGTAAACCCCTGCAAATATAGAAGGTGACAAGAAAATTAAGATTAACTTCCTTTATTATGCTTTGATAATTTGAGATTTATAATTATACATGATATAACAAAAGGTTTGGAGAAAGTTTAAGCGGTTCACATCAACAAAAGATAGTTGCTACTTGCTAGCCCATTTGGAGACTCTCTCTTCAAGCGTGCGAATGTTCCTTGCTCTTCTTCAGACACAAAGGAACTCCGTAATTTTGCCCAAGTGCCAATGAATGATGTGCTTAAGTACCATCTTTATCTTCCCATATCAAAATTTATCCTTATCTAAAAGATCCCAATTAGTTCACCTTGAGCTAAAGATGACAAGTAGAACATTTTAAAATAATTATACGAACGCTGCTAGCAAACATTTGAAACTGAAACTAGGTAATCTGACACGTGGGAGTTGTAGGTACATTTCGTTTATCTACTCAAAGGTAGAGTGTGAAGCTATATTTCAAACACATTTCAGTGAAATCCAATTTCTAAGAGGGAAAATTAAAATAACAGAGGAAATCAAACTAATCCGATGCGATTAGTGAAAAGCATATGGAGCATGCTGATCAGATACCCGAGAAATGTCCTACAATATAGTCTAAGAGTATACCATCTTAATAATAAGAGTAAACAGGAGAGTCACAGGAGCACTTTGTCAGTGCTAGTTTGTCCAAGGCATTCCTAAAAGATCCCATTAATTTCTGCTCCTACCAAATGGAGCACTTATCTCATTTATAGTTTTCTTAGCATAAGAAACAGATGAGATATGGAAACAAGTATGAAGAGTCTTCTGCTAAATACCCACTCATCCCCAAATCTGTAATTCAGACTAAAATTATTGCTAGATGTGAGTTAGTATGATTAGTTACAAACTCAGTGGATATAAGTTCTGTTAAGTATTCAATGCGATAATTTTCAAGTATCAAAAGTCAAATGAACTAAAAGAAATAATAACATTCAGGATGAGATAGATAGTCCAACCCGAAGTTCCATTCTGCACAAACATAAGGACCTATACGAAGAAGTAGATAGAGCCCGTTCGCACCAACTAGCTTTGCAAACTTGACAATGTCATATCGGTCTTCAAAGTTGTACTGGAAACAGAGTCACAAATAAAAATACCATATCAGAATGTTTCAGAAACTCTTTGTAAAGCATGCATTGGCACCCATCATACCTGCCCTCTAACAGGCTCATGACCATTCCAAAATGTATAAGTTTCAATTACGTCTGCTCCTCCTTCCTTGCTCTTAGCTATAATATCCGGCCACATCTGACATTAAGCAACTGTACTGCATCAGTAACTCCAAGAGAAAATGAATAATGCATGTTAGGAATCAAGATATCTAGTTCCTGAACTATCAAGCGAAGGTGATAAGACATCCAAAACGCACCAGCTCAAATTTCGTACTTCAGAAGACGGATAATTCATTTATTTCATAATTCAACCTTTAAACTTCAATCAGAGCTCATATGTGACAAAATCAATCAAACACACCACACAAACTAGTTGCCACTCACAGAAACACATACATACAACTGGGAAGTTGACTCAATCGAATAAGAAACTAATCAAAGCAATCCTAGCGATAAAATGGAACAATCGGAAAACTTTCAGGTGAACAAAAACAAAGAATTACCTCAGGGGTGGCGCGAGGGTAGTGAATTCCGGCGGAGATAAGCATACGCCGCTGACCATCAATGATTAAAGCTCGATGATCGTAAGTCACGTTGAAAGGCTTAAAATATTCGCCGCCGGCAAGGACTGATAACTGAACTGTCAACGCCACCAGAATAATTCGCCATTGCCACCACAGTTTTCTACTTAAGACCGCCATTGTCCACTTTGTAGTTTTTTCTTTCGTTATTGTTTTAGCATAGTGTTTATAAATAGAAATGGATAATTTTTCCAACAAAAAAAATGGATAAGAACATTTTAAAATAGAAAAGAAAATTTTCAATTAGATCCTTACGCTTTTTGCAATTAGTAAATGAACCTTTGATCATTGAAATCATTGAAAAGACCAAAGTATTGGAAGTGACGGAGGAATTATCTATTTTGCGGACCGTGACAATGAATTAAAACATATGTAAGAAAAACGTATTATTCTATTTATTTACTAGACTGAGCGAGATTAGACAAAATGGTATAATTTGAGAAGTAACAGTAAATTCTTTACGACCACTTATTGAATTAAAGTTAAGTCACTAACACGAACTTAGAAAAACCACAATTAAATTCACAATAGGTGATTTATAGCCTTTCAATAGTATCTGAGTTCTTTCGAAAATCCTAGATATTTACAAGGGGCTGAGTGCAGTTTACCTTTAAAATTAAGGTGATGATTAGTTCGACATCAACATCATTGCTTGGCTTGAGTGACGTGGAGAACAAGTCGTCTATCCAACACAAAGCATATCTACACTCCCAAGCAATGATTTAGTTGGAAGAATTTTGTATCTTCTGGACGAATATTTCCTTCTTTCGATTTTGGGTGTTGCTTTTCACCAATTTTAAAAGTAGCATAAATCATACTCACTTCGTCCCATAATTATTGTCCAGTTTAGATTTTCATTTCTACTTTAAATTATACTAAAAGTAAAATCTCAAATTGGACAATAATTATTATTGTCCAGTTTAGATTTTCATTTCTAGTTCAAATATACTAAAAGTAAAATCTCAAATTGGACAATAATTTTGGGACAGAGGGAGTACATAGTGGTTTGAGTTTAAATCATGGTTTAAGATATGAATTATCAGTTGTTCAGACACGCACTGGTGAATGAAAATTTGATATAAAAACTCGCGAGTTACAAAAGTGCCAAGATAACACTGTGGCACCTCAAAACTTAAAAACAATATACGCGCATAGTTGCTAAGATTAACATCGTCTAGATCATCCACTAGACTATCACATCAAGAAGGCGCTACGAAGAGTTGCTGCTAAGTACTTGCATAGTTTATCTGCATATTATGATCCCTGAGATACAAGCATATGGCCTCTCCTCCAACTAGATTATTACCTCACAGGTGAGCTTTGCAAACTTGACAATGCCATATCTCTTTCACTATGGTGCTGGACGTGTGAGTCAAAAGAAGCACCCCATTCTACTTTTCTCCTTAACAGGGCTCACGACAATCCCAGAATACATAATAAGCTTCAACGGGATCAGCTCATCTTTACTTGATCTTAGCCATGAGATCTGATCAGATCTCACATCTAATTACAACTATATAGCATCAGCAACTCCACCAAAAAATCTTCTTATACCTTCAAGAGAAGGTGCCCTGATGTTAATTTACATTTAACAGGCATAATGACAATACCATTTAGAAGCCAAAAACAGTTTTGTTAACCATCACAGACAATATATACTAACATCAACATTTGTCAAGGATCAAAGGCTAGATCTTGTATAATCTAGGTGGTACAGCAATTACAGCAACATAATTCCACAACTGTACATAAATCCAAAACATCAACATTATGTATATCTGTTCTGCAAGTCAACTGCTATTATTAACATAAACCACATTCAAGAATCAACTGAAATAAAACACCATTTTCACAATAGCACATCTCATCGAAGCAGATCAAGTTATGTTCAGTGCATTGATACTGTCTACAACTAATCACTTATACATTCCAGGTTCAGGAGTTCATAGCAATTAAACATCCCTTTTCAAAATGGTGTATCACAATAAAAGCAAATCTAGGCCATTACTACTCACAAACCTCAGGTTGGATATCTCTGACTGGAATAATCATAGGGCATCAAGACACAAAAACAGGAGGTTAGTCAAATGGTACATAACTACAACATCTGTTCAATATGGTAGAATGATTCAATTCAACTTACCTTTACAGTATCCATTCCAGACAACTGTCAGTCTGACACCAAGCATTAACTCACATCATTCTTGAGTGACTGGTCCATAATCCCAAGCATTTTAGCCATCAACAACCAATTCCAGTTCACAAATTCAAATACGCCACAAACTCAAAATCCCTGATTTGGTTAGTGGCAAAGGGAAAACTTGTTTACGAAACATCTGATGAGTAAAACAACCCACGTAATAAAAGTTGAAACTTTATCATAAAATCTAAAAATCCCTGTCAAATATGTGATTCCAGAACAGTATTTAGAAGCCAAACTAACAGAATTAAAAATAGAGAACCGGAAAACCCAGGAATTTTATCAATTATCGTAGAATTAGGAGCATATGGAAGGAATCTCCCTTTGGAAATGAAGGGTTTTTCAAAATCAATCATAGAAAAATAGGAAATTTAATCAACTGAATCAAAAGCTTACAACAAAATTCTTTCTCGCTGAAATTATTGAAAAAATAACGACCCCAATTTACATATGTATAAAGCAAGGGAACCAGAACCAGTACACGAAAGAATGATAAGAGTTGACTGCTTGGATTGGTAAAAAGAACCCATCAGGAAATCCATAGCCAAAAGCTTCAATCTCGGGCCGCAGCTCCCATTCCCCCCCTGTGTTGTGTTCTGGTGGATTTATTACAAAGGCACTGTTTCTCGACATTTTCACAGTTTGAGCGAATTCATTCATTTCATATAAATGACGAATATCATAAAACCCCCTCGAAGTTTAGTCTATTATCTGAAATTAAAATCTCTATTATACCCCTTCATTTGAAGGAAATTAAAACCTTAGTCCCTAACATTACTAATACTGTAATTATAAAAAGTTGATGTCCCCAGCTCCATACAATCTGGTAAATATTAGTGGTAGTTAACTTTTATCTACATTCTATCCAAAAAAAAAAAAAAACACGTGAAGTAATGTAGAGAAATTTACGTTCTCTGTCCCATAATTATTGTCCAGTTTGGGTTTTCATTTCTAGTTCAAATTGTACTAAAAGTGAAATCTCAAACTGGACAATAATTTTGGGACAGAAAGAGTATTGAGAAATTTTGAGCACAAATTTACAACTAAGTTCCCTTCATTTTCCTCTTATACTAATTGTTACAATGACATGTTAGTGTTGTGTATATTTGAAACACTTGTACTCAAAAGTAAATTTCAAACAAACATACATACTATGAGATTGAAACACTTTTAGATGAACACATAAATTGGTCTTTTTGGTTTGTTAATTTTCACACACGACATATTAGTGATTTTACTATCGTTTGATACAATATCAAAATAAAGTCAAAATTTTGTTTATATCAAATCATCTTTCGTGAATATGTAAAGGTAAAGGTATTAGGCCAGTTTAATTATGAACCAGATTCGAACCCGGACATATGTATGCAACAGTGATTAAAATAATTATTAGGAGAACTTTGTATCCCAAAAGGGACTTACTCGGTTCGAATCCAGATTAGTTAGAGCAATAATTTCGTATACCCGGTGCGTAATATACCAAAAAAAAAATGTAACATTCAACATAACTTATACCAATCAAAAGCCAAAATTCATCATAGAATTGCAAGAAAGAGAACCGAGAACTAGAATCATTGAGATTGTTATTTTTCATGTACTCGGGGTTTCTTTTTGTTGTGGTTTTCATGTATTTTAAGGATTTGATAATTTGATTTTGCTTTTAGCGAAACGAAATCGTTGGTACCTTTACTTTATCTGTTTTTTTCTTCTTAAAAGAAAAAAAATATTCCTCTAAAAGGAAAAGAACGACTGAAACAACTTAGTTTACCGGTTAAACAAATTGATTTAATTTTTCTAAGATAAAAATTCCCTCAACCATCCAGATATTGGATGCTACCTTCAGGAATTGTTGTAGATGGGACTAACTTAGTAGGCCTCAAAACGTAATATTTTTAATTTTTGCTAAACAGAAAGTTAATAAGTACGTAATAATCAGCAAAAGATGGAAAATGAAAATGATCAATAGATGCTAGATTTAATATTATATTTAAATATTTTTAAGAAAGACACATTCAGTTGTGTAATCATTCATTTTGAAAAACTAGTAGCTAAACAGGTTGCTAAAATAATAACGCGGCTATTTTTCTTAACAAACAATTTCGTGTTACAACTTTGTGCAATGGATCAACATATTAACTTCCCACTTGAAAGCACTTCAATGTGATTTCATTTGCATGCATGCTACTTGGATGTGAACCAAGCATTCATAAGAACTGTATTGATCTGATTGAGATATGGTAAAATTATGAAACGAAAATTAACATGCAAAAAGAAATTTCCATATCCAATCCTCAATTTTCTTTCTTAGGTGTAAAATGGTGTGTAAATGACTGATTTCATTATATTAAAATTATACAGAGTACAGTCTTTGATAGAAGTTTACACAAGATAAAAAAAAGGAAATGATCTAATCTTATCCCTATCTCAATGTATAAGGAAAATATAAATAGTATCAATAATATTAATCTTAATACTCCCCTTCAAGTTGGAGCATGGAGATTAGCAATGCCCAACTTACAAAGAAAGGAGTGGAATTGATCTCGTCCAAGAGTTTTAGTAAGAAAATCGGCAAGCTGGGAATGCGAAGGGACAGGACGAGGTACTAAGAGTTTAGACTGTAAGTGTTGTCGAATGAAATGACAGTCGATCTCGATGTGTTTCGTTCGTTCATGAAAAACAGGATTAGAGGCAATATAAATAGCAGCACGGTTGTCACAGAAAAGAAGAACAGGACCCATGCGAGGAACAGCTAACTCGGTAAGAAGACGAGTAAGCCACACGAGTTCACTGGCAGTGGTAGCCATTGAGCGGTATTCAACCTCAGCAGTAGATCGAGAGACAACAGATTGTTTCTTTGAGCGCCAAGAAATGGGTGAAGAGCCCAAGAAAATAATGAAACCCATGGTGAAACGACGGGTGG